GTTCCAGGGGAGAAGTGGATGGGGCCTCAGCCTACCAAACTCACAGCCACAATGTGATCACGACTCCTCCATACTCTGTATATTTTAACAACTTCTAAATAAAAATTTGGTGGTGTAAATTCACATTGTTTTTATTTCAACAGCACACACACACACCACAAAGTTATGAGCCATGACCCATCTTTGCTGGCAAAGACTGAGATGCTCCTTTTATACTCAATCACGATACACTCACCTATTACTAATTCACCTACTTATTGTGGAATGTTTCAAAAGAGTTTAGCTTGGATATTTTACAAGATTTTCAAGTTTATTTTGCCTCTGTCCCAACTTTTTTTGGAGTGTGTTGCAGCCATAGACTGTAAAAAAAGATGGACGACGCCCCTTCGCTCTTTTCCATTGGAGAACTGAAGCCGCCAGTGTCCCGATATGGCGCTGAGTCGCTGACATATTGGAATTTGAGTTTGCGCAGTAGCGTTTTCGGGACCAGTCATGCGCAGTAGTGAGCAGGAAGTAAAGCCGCGAAATCAAGGCCCCGCCCTCACTCTGAATCAATCGCAAGCACACGCCCCTGCACTTTTCTTAAAGTTGGCATGAAAGGGAAGTTGAGATTGTCATTTTTCCTTGTTGTGACGTATATCCGAGTGAAACAGCTTCTGAAATTAGAAAAAAATGTAGGGCGGGGCTTGATTTCGTCCTTCGGGAATTGATTGGATCGTTGGAGGTTGGGCGTTGCAAACAAAATGGAGGCAGATTTGAATGTATCTTCTCTGAGAGGCGGTGCACCGATAGCCGCACCCTCATCGGGTCTGGCCGCACCCTTTCGCCATTGCACGTGACCGAAAGAGAAGAGAGGTCGTTTCGAGGGGGGAGGGAAGGGTAATGTATTTGATTAAAGATTATAAGGGTACATGAATTTAATGAAGTGCACAGATAAATCATTTATAATAAACACTACAATATTACATATAAAAAGAAGATTTGTCAAATTTGATTTCATGCCGACTTTAAGTGGCCTTTGTCTGCTCCGTTCCTCTCCAATGATGTCTGCTGATTGCAGTACCTCGTTAAAATAAGGTAAATACAACTACTAACCACATAGTCAACATTATGAAAAAAAGTCCGTTGGTGCTTCAGTGACTACTTCACACAGAGAACCTGTCAATCACAGCTGTCAATCATGTCACAGCACCGTTTTTATAGCATCAAATAACTAACTAAAAACTATCTTATTTTAAAAACAAAAACTTGAAATTACATCAACGTGATAGAAACTACAGTAAATGACAGAAACTATCTTTATAAAAAAGATATGTGAAGTGTAATTTAATTGTTTAGTTGGTCTCGCGTCCCGTTGAATAACATGGGGAGGCGGGATTTATGACCTATACTAGGACCGGCCTCTGGGGGGCGATCGAGACGTTTTGGCTTCACTTTTGAGGGCTTGTGCGGCACGCTTGGTTGCAGCCATCAAAATTTGTTTATATTTACAAAATACAATTAAGAATTAAGTTGTTCAAGTAAAAAACATTGGAATTTTTTTTTGTATACTTTTGTCAGTTAAAGCAACACCAAGTAACTTTTCCTCTGCAGTCGCCCTACAGGTTGGAAGCTGAATTGTCCATTACCGCTGTCGTAAATCTTACCTGATTTGGCAATCTTACATAGCGTGGTTATAGCAGATATAGGACCGCAAAGCGAATCCAGAAGTGCCTTTCACCCTGTTACGACTTAATGAACCACTGAAATGATTTTGGAAACATTATTTTAAGGTAAAAAATCTTACTTAGTGTTGCTTTAAATAAAGTTATTATTAACAAATCACAGATTCTTGATTTTATTGCATTTTACAAAATGTCCCAACTTCTCTTGATTTGGGGTTGTATTAAGTAAGGTATAATGTACATACTGTTATAGCAGAATAAATCCAGTCAGGGTGATCAGGACCCCGATGCGAAGCGGAGGAGCAAAAAGCTCACAACCAGTTTTCTTCTACTTAAAATGAATGGATGCCAACATTGTCTATTGTGATGTGCAACACAAACACCTCCTGTTAAGATATCAGAAAATGTAGTTTAGGGTTTCATGACACTTTAATAAACTCATTCCATTTATCAAATTCTGTTACCCATTTTATTGTAACAAAATAATCAAACACATAATTAATTCCAGTCAAAGCCCTTCCAGAGTCTGTTCCAGTCAAAGCCCTAAATGATGGCACTCATGACCACATGCACAAAGTAAGCCATACTTTAAAGTCGGCATGTTGTGCAGATCTTATTTTGAACAATTAATCAGTGCATAATTTTTTTTAATGTGACTTCGTAATGTTTAATCAAAATGTCATAACTTGACCTTCCAATGAAAACAACAGACTTCTCTCTGATGACGTATACAGGACTCCAATTATTTAGTCTAAACCCAGCCCCTTTTGAGGGCAACGCACATCTCAACATCCAATCAACAACTGATGCATAGAACCAAGTCTCCGCTCTGCTTTTTGTCTTTTTTGACAATCTGTTACATTTGGAAAGTACATCACAATTCGGACAAAAAAGATCTGTTGCTACTTTGGTTTCATTGTGACTTTAAGTTGATTACTATCTCTCTCTCTCTCCTTACAAGGGCATTTAAATTAAGAGCTAAACTTTGGCCTTAAACCCATCCTGTAAGATTGTATTTACAATTTAATAAAACATAATCTTCTGTTTCTAGGTTAATCACAGGTTAATTCTAGGTTAATCACAGGTTAATTCTAGGTTAATCAAAGTTAATCTCTTTTTTCTCCCATTCTTTCCATTTAAGACACTTTGACTGCAATGCGTTTTGTGACAGCTGTAACAGAAGGACAAAGAGCTAATGGAGAGGGTCTAGTGTGGCGCACTCATCAGGACATTACCCAGCCTGCCTTACTCATTGAGGTATCAAATACCCAAGATTAAGAAATGTAATAAAAGTAAATAAAAAAGAATAGAATAGAATAGAATACATTTACATGATGATCTTTAAATTATTACTCAATGCAATTATGTACATGAAGAAATGTCATTATATTTTAGAACCAAGATATAGACTGACATGTCTACTGTATGCCTAAACCTGTAGTGAAGACAATAAAACAAACTATTTTCTGATACTTTAGTGTGTTCACAACAGGCCTGCCTTTCTGTTTTGCATAGGCAGGATTAAAGGCAGGTCTCTCAGCCAATGAGGTGGAGGAAATTCTGAACCTTGCCAAATACCAGCCAATCAAAGACAAGCTGAAGAGTGTCACACAAAGTACTGGAGTATCAAATCAGTGAATTTACTTGCATCTTTGCACCCTTTGTGTGCAAAAGTTCTTACCAAAATGTTGTTGTGTTAATTGTTTTTATAAAACATCTACTTCGTTCCCAATAGTTTACAGTGCTTCGGTCTTCCGTTTATTGTGTGTCATGTTAATGGAAACACTGAGTTCTTCTTTGGCTCTGACAGATTTGAGCTCATGGCTCATTGCATCGGTAAATATAGACTAGGGAAAGCCGATTAACCAACCTTAACAATTTGTTTGACTAGCCTAATAATGTAATTGGAGTAGCTTGTCTAAAAATATAAAGCAAAATGTAGTTGTGTAAATTAATTAATGTTTAATTTACACAACTAACTTACCCTCAAATATGAGCAAAACTTGATTGTGAATCTTAATCTTTCATTTTTAGTGCTAATAACCTGGAAATGGATTAATTTGTGGATCACTGACAAGCACAAGTTTGGAGAAACAGGTGTTGTGTTTATTAGTGTTGAGGAACATGTCGTCCGTCCGTCCGTCCATCCATCCATTCTCCTCACCAGTTGTCCTTTGTTGGGTCGCGGGGATGCTGGAACCCATCCCAGCGTCTCGCTCTGAAGGCACGAAAACCACACCATGGGCAGGTGGCCAGTCCATCACGAGAACAGCGTGTCCTAGCCAGACACACGATAAAACCACAGAGGTCACTGTGTAATGCGGACCCTGCACACATTCACACACAGACTGACACCTACGGGAAATTTAGTATCTTAATTTCAGCTGTCCTGCATGTGTTTGGAATGAAGGGGAAACCCTGAGCCCGGCAACACGGGGAGAACACAGAAAGGCTTTACCTCCAACAAGGGACCTTCTTTGAGGAGCATATAACATTATTGCGTCACAGATACCTAAACTAATTGATTATGCTACATATTTACTTCATATGGAAAGTAGAATGCTTTTTTCTGTCAAAATGACGGAAAGCATTTTGAATTATCCGTCAGTAAAGTAGAAAAAATTGGCCTTTGTCATGTCTGTTTGATCACACGGTTATTTATGGCTTGTCGATTAACCGATTGTAACCGGTTGATGATGGAAGCGAATGGTATTTTCCTACTAAGGACAGAGTTATTGAGCTGTGACATGTTTTTAACCAAGAATTCCTAAGTTGGATTTTGAAATGACAGACGGTTCATTGTCCAATCATTCTTTCTTTTGTCTTCCAGGGAAGAAGGTGATGGGGCCTCAACCCACCAAGCCCACAGCCACAATGTGATCACTACTCCTCCATACTCTGTATATTTCAACAACTTCTGAATAAAATTGGTGCAAATTCACATTGTTTTTATGTCATACTTGAAGCCATCAGCTGTCATGCACGGAATGCAATGGTTGAACAAACCTTTTCTGTTCCAAATTATAAACTGAGTGAAAGTTAAACCTGTATATCCTCTTTAACTCAGTCAGAATTTGTGTCTGGATGTCTGACCCTCCTAGAGAAACTCGAGGAGCTGGATAATCAGGTTTCAGTTTAGTTTAATGCAGGAAGGAGAAACTGACACATATGCTTAACTTGATAGATGATTATGTTAATACACCAATAGGGAATTTCATCATTCACAGGGTTTGACAGCTGAAAATGATACACTGTAAAATGTAAAAAGGGCTTGGCATTTACCCTTTGATGGGTAAATAATGTTTTTGGTAACCCTACACAGTAAAGGAGGGTGTTAACAACAACAGCAAGTAGCACAGGTGAGGAGGGTGGAGCTAAGTAACCAAGAAAGGTGTGACATAGACAAACACAAGCAGACTTAGTCCTACAGTACACCATAAGGAAATTCTCTAGAAACGAGGAAGGGGACGAATAAGAGGGACCGATGACACTGCATAACATTGGGAATACAGTGGTGATGTATTCAACAATGGGATATTATTTTCATCCTGGAAAACTATCTGAATAGAGAGAATCTGAAACTGAACATCACGGAGTAAGATCACCTATAACCACAGTGACCAGCAGGTAGGGCAGTGGAGACCTGAACATGACCACGGTGCTTATGGGTTAGCAAGACGTGACTTAGTGCTTGTGTTTACAAGGCAGGCCTATGTGTTGAATTAGCAGTCAGATGATTTGATGTATTTATTGCCAATTTGATTCAAAACATACCTCATTTAAGGACAAAAGGCACTATGGAGAGTATTGCATTACTGTGTAAAAGTTTGGGGTCGGTACAAATTTTTAACTGTTTTTGAAAAGGCTCAACAAGGCTGCATTTTTTAAATCAAATTTACAGTAATATTGTGGAATATTGCAATTTAAAATAACTTTTATGTTTACATTTATATTGTGTCATGTAATTTATTCATGTGATGGCACAGCTGAATTTTCAGCATCATTTCTCCAGTCTTCAGCGTCACATGATAATTCAGAAATAATTTTAATATACTGGTACTCAAGGAACATTTCTTATTATTATCATTGTTGAAAACAGTCGTGCTGCTTAATATTTTTGTGGTAACTGTGATACATTTTTCAGGATTCTTTGATGAATATATAAGGTTAAAAAGAATAGGATTTATTTGTAATAAACCAACATTTTTAATGTCTTTGTTGTCATTTTAGATGAATTTAATGCATCCTTGCTGCATAAAAGTATTGGACAATTTTTAAATACACTATTTAAAATACACTTTTTAAATACACTTACTCAGTAAAGATATTCATACACAATATATCTCACTTGCTTTTGTGAGTTTCTATATGTATATGACATGTCGTTGTGTAGTTTTCAAGAAAGAAAAATGCAGACAAACAGGTTGAGCATCATAATCCAAATAAAAAGGCTGTTCCGTGTGTGTCAGAGACGGAGCTAAAACAGCTGCCTTTTACTTCACAGTCTGAAAACACAATTAGTCGCATTTATGGGCCTAGAAAGAACACATTCACCTTTTAGCACATCAAAGATGACAATTACAGCTATGAGCACATACTAACTATGGCAAATGTACTGTTGTACTGACTTCATAAAAAAATGCATTGGGTGTGTTCACTTTTTGTTCACAAATGAGGTCATCTCATATTGCACTTAAAGCTCAAGTGTGTAGCCTGTTTGAGAATATACTAAAAAGATACCATCATTATGTACACATATTTCACTTGTGTATACAGTAAATATTTACATGTAAAATGTATTTTATATTATTTTTTCCTCATTCTCTCTGTGGATATTCTAGAAAAACCCTTCTCTGAGAACTGATGATGAGAAAAGATGCGTCTCACCTGCCCAAAGCTTTTTTATGATTAAAAAGACTGATCATGTTACACTGACCCAGAACTCAGCATAATGTTTCATACTGCCATTATACACTGAACAAAATTATAAACGCAAACACTTTTGTTTTTGCCCCCATTTTTCATGAGCTGAACTCAAAGATCTAAGACTTTTTCTATGTACACAAAAGGCCTATTTCTCTCAAATATTGTTCACAAATCTGTCTAAATCTGTGTCTAAAACATATGGTTTCAATGTTCTCTGCATTTGGAAATCAACCTACAACACAGTGCAATTTTGGTGAACAAGTAGGTAGCTAATTAAAAAAAAAACTCTCCAACCTTTTAAATCCATATTCTGTCTCTGCACAGGATGGCGACCTCGTCCAGTTCTGCATATTCGGAATGTAAAACTGGAGATACATTTTGCGGTGAGTAGATCAAGTCTGCCAGATAAAACACAGGCATCATCAACATTAGACAGCTGTCACCAAAGTTGTAAGCAGAAATTTCAAACTTCACACTCATATTCCTTGCGAACATGTGATCTGCTCCCTCAGAGATACGGGTGTATGAACAGGAAGTGATAATCGTACCGGTGCTGTTTTTGATGGTTTTCTTGGTCACGCTGGTTTTTCTACTACTGCTGAGGTTCTGTCCTGAGAAGGTGGATCGCCTGCAAAACCACTCAAGTCGAGCAACCAGGACTAGGAGAAATTTGCAAGGCATTGATGGTGAGTGTCTGCTACTATATATTTAAGAAGCAACATGCCAAGTTTTTTGTATATATATATATATATATATATATATGCATGTATGTTACATGTATGTTGCATAACAAAATAAATGGATGTGTACATATCACAATTTAATAAAAAGTTGATCGCAAAAAACATTTCTTAATAACACAATATGTCTGTACATAATACAGGGATTAAATGTAACTGCTGCATGCAAACTACTGTGCTTACGCGTCGTAACAAGGGCGTAGGAAAATATTTGATGCTGCATTTCAGCACACCTCTTTTCTACACAGTGGAATTGTTTGCATAGTTGCATGGTTTTGATACTCAATGCTTTTATTTAAGTAAACATACATGACATTTGACTTTATATTTGATTAAGAATCCTAGTCTGCTTTTTTCATACTTTTGATTCGTCACACCCCACCTAAACAATCTCTCTCACCCTCTTTCTATCTCCTTTTGAGTCTAGCTCCCATTGGTCTGAATGCTCTGGAAGGTGAGCCAATAGCACTGGGCACTACATCTTACATGACGTTCAACCCTACATCACAAGTTCGAGACTCCTATAGGCATGACCCTGCCTCCTTAAACGCACACGTGGACTTTATCGATGGTGGAGGTTCTTTTGGGGCCGCAGCTTCAGCCTTCTCAAAGCCCAGGGAACTTCCACGTCAGCGACTGCCAGAGAACTTCAAAGGGGTGTCTCCTCTCCCAGCATCATACTCTCTGAAGTCAGACAGCTCCACCTCACTCTATAGGGCTCGTATGGAAAACAGAAACGTGGTGCTGCGTGTACTTAAAGGTGCCCGAGTGGTTTATTTATGACATGATCATGAAGTCTGACTGAGATCTTGAACTCCAGTTTCACTCTCTCTTTTTTTCGTTCTCATATTCAGATTCAGCAAATAACCAGGAAAGTCAGTCATTCTTGGGCTTTGCGGCCTTCCTTTCCCAGTTAGGGCCTCATCCCTTCTTACCAGAGCTTCTGGGAGTAATATCCCTGCGGGCTCCTCTCATTACTGTTATTGAAGAGATAGAGAACAGAGATCTGCTTGGATTCCTGTGGAGGTGTAGACAGGTGAGAGGTTGGATCAGGATGTTTTATAGCAGTGGCTCTAAACTGGTGTGTAACAGGTTTAGGCCACAGGTCTGGTAGGTCACTGACAACGGGAAATGCAGATTAGCAAAAAAATTATATAAAACATAAAAAAAATATCAAGTAAATTGATATGGAACCCCGCAGATGACAAAAAAGAAAGAAAAAAAGGTAAATCCTAATAATAAAAAAATGCAAAATAGCAATAAAAATAAATAAATCTAATAATATAAAATAAATTGGTACAGAGTCCTGCACATGACAAGTGGGAGGAAAACAAGTTATTATGAACATGTAAAAATAACTTGTTCCCTTGTTTTAGTTAAACCGAATTAATACATTTTGGGAACAAATTGATAAGTCATGGGAACAATTATGGCCACAATATATTTCTTTCTTTCGTCATGTGTGGCGTGCCATAAATTGGCTCATTGACTTTTGTTTTAAAATGCTTTTAAAATGTATTAATTTTTACATTTTAAAAAACTGTTGTTGACCTAAAAAATTGTGCATCTAAATAAACCTAATGGTTTTTTGGTGCAAATTCATTTGGTACCTTGTTTACTATATGTATTAACTGTTGTTTGTGCTTGATGGCTTTATGAAATATGGGGGATTTGAAGCAAAACAAGTTGAGAACCACTGTTATTTCAATATCATTGATATACTACTAGTTTCAGTAATCATTTTATGGTTTTAGTTTTAGTTAATTATACGATTGTTTAATTATAATGACTGTTTTAATTTTATTCTTATTTTCATTTCTTCTATGTAAAGCACTTTGAATTACCATTGTGTATGAAATGTGCTATATAAATAAACTTGCCTTGCCTTAATGAAAATAACACTGTCTCAAATAGGATAATGTTGGACCAGACGGCATGCATCAGATGACAGAGAGAAAGATCTTCACCATGGCCTCACATGTATCCTCTGCACTGGTGAGTACAAAGTTGTTATCACCACTATCTCAGGGAAAGATTCAAGCATTTTGGCATTTGAATTAACAAAATAATCCCTAGCAAATCAAAATCTTGGCCAATCATGGTGTCATTTGATATTTTTGCTCAGTTTCAAGATCGGACATCATGGCTACACAGTACACACCTTTTTTTTCTTCTTTCTCTGTAGGAGTTTCTCCATAGCAAAGATCTTCTCCACTGCAACATCAAGGCTCGTAGCGTACTGGTCAGCAGGATTTGTACCGCAAAACTCTGGGGTTTGGATGATTTATATGCAAGGACATTAGAAAGTGCTAATCACAGTGAAGATCCTGGAAGAAAAAAGTGGCAGGCTCCTGAGCTATTGGCCAAGAGACCTGCCACTCCAAAAAGTGATGTGTACGTAAAAAGCACAATACATGTCATGAGGAAAAGCAACTTTCAAGGTTTCAATTAAGATATCTGTATTTCTTTTTTTTTCTTTACTTTTTCGTAGTTGGTCATTTGGGCTGCTGCTGTATGAAATGGTTACTCTTGGTGAGTCTACGGTCTGGTTCTTTTTAGATGATTTAAAGGGTTAGTTCACCCAAAAATGTTAGGTTAATTCTTTCATTAATTACTCACCCTCATGTCGTTTCAAACCTGTAAGACTTTCGTTCATCTTCGGAACACAAATGAAGATATTTTTAATGAAATCTGAGAGCTTTCTGTACCTCCATTGGCAGCTACGCAACTACGACTTTGACACTTCAATAAGTTCATAAAGCAATCAGCGAATATAAACAAAAGCTAAACAACCGAACCTGTTTGACGCACGAGAACAAACCACATTGGTTCTTTCCGAAGCTCAAACATGCCACGTAACAAACGAGAATTAACCTTGCTTGATGAGTGAGTTGATAAATGTTTATATGTGAATAAAAGACTAAATTCAATCTGTTCATTATATAAAGCGATCATGTCTCTTCAGAAAACTTTGACTAAACCACTACGATCTCTTTATGAACTTTTCGAAGTGTCAAAGTGGTAGTTGCGTAGCTGTCAATGGAGTGACAGAAAGCTCTGATTTCATACAAAATCTTTTCATTTGTGTTCTGAAGATGAACTAAAGTCTTGCGGATTTGGAATGACACGAGGGTAAGTAATTAATGCCAGAATTATCATTTTTGGTGAGCTATCCCTTTAAGTCAACTGTATACTGATAGAATGATTAACAAATCTCCCTTTAAGTTCTTTCTCACATTTTTGTTTATCCTATTTTTTACACTCTTTCCATACTTTCAGGTGAGGTCCCCTTTGCTGAAATCCCTGCAAAGGAACTTCTACAGTATCATCAGAGAGCCAAAACACTGAAGAAACCAAACAACTGCTCCAACTCACTGTAAATGCAACTTTAGAAACATTTGTTTTATAAAAAATATTGTATAATGTTTTTGTATTTTTTTGTATTTTAATTTACTGTTCGTACAGTGCTTGTTTTGTACATTCAAAATAACAATTTGCTACTGTTTTTCTCCAGTTACTCGATTATTAAAGCCTGCTGTCAGTGGAAGGAGCACGACCGCCCCTCATTGGCTGAGGTCAGGCATAAACTCCAGTCTGGAGAGAAGAGTGCCAATGACAGCAGTATTCTCCGTGTGCCTGAGCCAATCAATCTTGAACAGTATCTGAAGGAGGCGGGATATGGAGAATCCAACAACTACACAGTTTTCTGAACTCCAGATGACTCCACATACAAATACATCACATCTATATAAAAACTCAGTTTTGTTTGTGGTGTACACTAACACGATGCATCTCCAGTGTGATTCCTAAAGAGAGAATTGACTGTCGACCAGCCATACAGACGTAAAAAAAAAGTAAAGTATGAAATGTTAATTTTAACGAATACTTTCAAATATAATCTTCTTTAATGTTGCCAAATTTTCTGATTTGATTTGTTATCAAATCACTATTTTATTGTACTGTGTGAGATATTTGAACCTGCTGGTGCTGTGGAAAGCTAGAATTCAAAGTAATGAACCGAGAAGCTCCTTGGACTGGTCTGATCCATAGACTGTGGTCTGATCAAGCAAAATTGAGATCCAGGACAGTCCAGAGCCAGTTTAATGATGCAGCCACGTGGCAGGTCCATTTGCACATTTACTGTATCATAATAAATAAATAGTTCTGGAAGTCACTGGAAAATGACTGACTATTTGACACTAAGAGGCTTCTTTAACTACTGCTCACATGCCGCGGATGAGGAGGAGACCGTTTACACACTTACAGGCCACCATTTTGTTAAAGCACTATCACACGAGCAAAATTGTTGCGAATAACAGCCATGCTTATATTCAAACCAACATTGGGAGTGTGATATTGCTTTAATAGAACAGTTCAATAAATAAAAATGAAAATATTGAGTAACTTACTTTTTTAGATATAATACTGCCAACGAGAATACTTCCAAACGAAGGCAAGGCTGAATCGACGCGCGTGGCGGTTCTTGCTGAATTGAATGAATCCGTTATTTGAACGAATCGGTTGAGTGAATGATCAATTTGACTCACTACTGGTCACTCGTTTCCACCTACTGGCATAACGATGTAACCTGCAGAAATAAGTCATTGAAAAATCACTATAATATACACAAACTGACATTTATACATACATTTAAAGATATGTCTTTAATTATAGCAAATTCAGAAATTGAAACCAAGTAATGTTTTTACACAATATTGATTAAAAATTCACAAAAAATACTTTAAAGGGGTGGTATAATGCCCCTTTTTACATTATGTAAAATAAGTCTATGTTGTCCCCAGAGTGTGTATGTGAAGTTTTAGCTCAAAATACCCCACAGATAATTTTTTACAGCATGTTTTGAGGGTCAGTCAAAACGCGACGTTTAGTGTGTGTCTCTTTAAATGCAAATGAGCTGCTGATTCCTGCACAGAGGGCGGAGCTTCAAGAGCTTGTGTGTGTTAGCAGCTCCGATTACCTCACACAGACAAGCACTAAAATGTCAGAAACTGTTCTGCCTTTTATGTTTAAACTGGAGTCGGACAATGATGGAGACTCAAGAAGAAGTGACAACATGTAGAATACAACAGTACGTTTCTGAATGGTTAGTTGATGAATTTGTTACTGATGTGGAGTTAACCATCTTCAAGTCTTTGATTAGCATATTCTGTCATGATAATCTATAAAAATCGATTGTGTGGGAACTGTTGTAAGATGCCTATAGAGTGGCATGCTATTGCAAATTTTTCTATGTAAATTTAGCGTTTGTGATGTCACTAACCCGGGAGGAATGTCCTGTAGTCCCTACCAGCCATTTGTTGTAGTCCTTAAAAATCGATTTCTTTAAAAGAAAATATCTTCCTTTGCTTTGAACTTTGAGCGTTGTAACTTTGCAGATGTTGTTTATGCTCAAACAGCAACATTACACACTAACTAAAGTTAGAAAAGTGAAATCATAATCAACCACCCCTTTAAAAAAATTATATTATACATGAACAAAGCAGTCAATACATTTGGAACACAGGGGAAACATAGCCAAACAGGAAATAAAGACTTGAGATGTGAATGTCACAGCACTTTCTTTATTCATATTTATGCATACAAAGAAACTCAGCCATGTTAAGAGCACCAGCACACAGCTTTCTCAGGCACTCTCTCTCTCTCTTATACACTCTCACACTTGCTCTCATGTGCTGCAAGGCTCTCAGGTAAAGCTACTAATACTTGTCTATGAAGCTGGTAAACTGTACCCAAAAATAATGATGCTATTTTTAATACAAATGAAACATTTCCTACAATCGTCTACTGTAGAAAAAAAAGAAAATAAACAATTTGTTGTTCTAGGATCAGTTATCCAAGCACTCCTTCAGTCTGTTATTTATAAAAGAAATAAAACCTACTTCCATTCAGTAATACTGTGTAAGAACATAGCTCCAGATTTTTCATCTCTCACAGTCTCTGACCCATTAATAGCAGTGATACAGGAATGGCCACAGTATTAACTTCCAAAATAGCACACGAAGACAACCGACAGTCCCCTAGTCAAGTGCTGATCAACTGAAAATAACAGATTTTCCAAAGAAAAGTAGTGAAATGATGCTCGGGTGACTTTTTTTTTTTTGGGGGGAGCCCATGTCAGAGGCAACATACTGTTATTTTTTGAAAGGCAACTTATTCACGTCTTTGACTCTGATAGTCAAAAACACTACAGGAATAACATTGATTACTGTCTCTAATGTCATCATCAGTCATACTTTGATTACAAATGTATAAAACAACCACCAATCACAAAAGAACACAAACATACTTAAAGACAACACATTTACAGTAACAGCAAAAAAAAAAAAAAAAAACAGACGCAGGACTCACATGCCCATTCAAACAAGTCCCTAATATTATATATGTAGCACATTCAAAATACAGGACTGAGACGTTTTTGTTTACCATCTCCAAACAAAACGATCTAGTCATTTAAAGATTATACATGATCATATTTGTGCTATTTTTCCTTTAAGATAACTTCCAATATTCTTTCTCGAAGTGTTTGAAAACTGGACAAATTAAAGTGAGAATTAGTCAGGTACAATCTAGCCATCGTTGAAGACAAAACCATTAATAACGCAGGCTTTCACATTTAAACAAAAATACTAAAGGTAAATTGTTTGCTTTTAAAGGGATAGTTCACCCCAAAAGGAAAATTCGGTCATCATTCACTCACCCTCAAGTTGTTCCAAACCTGTATGAGTTCCTTTCCTCTGTTGAACAAAATACTTTAAAGAATTTTGGTAATCAAGGAGTTGATGGTAGCCATTGACTTCCATAGTAGGAACAAAGTCAATGGCTACCTGGTAACTCTTGGTAACTGTCTGGTTACTGACATTCTTTAAAATATCTTGGTTTATGTTTAAAAGACAAAAAAAACATACAGGTTTGGAAAAACATGACGGAGAGTAAATGAAGACAACATTTTCATTTTTGGTTGAACGATCCCTTTAATAAGGCATCACTTATTATTTTACCGTTCAGATGACATTCTCTCCCGTTCTTCCCTGTTGTTTTGAGTAAACTTTAGGTCAAATCTAAAGTCTTTTCATCCCCATCAGTTTCCGTTTCTCAGGCTGGCGACGGAAGTATAAAGCTCTAATCCTGCAACTCATCTCTCTCACCGACCCTCGTTCAATCCCTCAGGCTGTTGATAGACGCGCAGATTTTGAGCGCAGGACCGAGTTTGATGTTCATAGTGGACATGAGATGCTCTTCTTTGAGAAGCAACAGCGCCTGCCCATCAATCTCCTGTGACAGGAACTGGGATGCCAAGTCCTCACAACCTGACAAGAGATGTCACAATGGAGGAGTACATTAAATAATATTGTAAATATACAGGAGAACACAAAGCACACCTCACGTTTGGCGTCAGAACACTGACCTTGAAGAGAAGAAATGAACTGACACACTTCCTCCACACTCCAGCGAGCAGGGTTCCCAGATAAGAAGTGGTTCTCGTCCACTGGGAGGCCACTTGGTGCCGTGTCATCCAACTGAGGGCCACAGTGGGTTGGTCTTGGGCATGAGAAGGACGAGCTGGGAGAGAGTGAGAAGAAGTCTTCTTCTTCCTCACAGCTGGAGATGTCCTCAGAACGACTAGATTCTGAACGACACTGCGAAATAGAAAAAGTCATATTAATTTACTTTGTTTTGAAATTTCAAAAAAGAAACGTAATTATTTAAAACCTAGAAGCTGTAAAACCATACATGTTTAATTTCAGTTCCCAAAGTTAAGCTAAAGGGAACTGAAATTAAACATTTCTTCTTCTTTTTTAAATTTTTGAAACACGTCGCTTATGCTCAATTCCTATGCATTTACTTGATCAAAAATGCAGTAAAAACAATAATGTTTTGAAATATTATTTAAATGTTTCTTCTCTATTTTAATATATTACATTTAAAATTGAAAAGTTTATTCCCATGATGGCAAAACTAAATTTTCAGCATCACGATCTTTCAGAAATCATTCTAATATGCTAATTTAGTGTTCAAGAAACATTTCTTACCATTGATTATTGAAAACAGTTGTGCTGCTTAATATTTTTGTGGAATTTTTTATTTTTTATTTCAGGATTCTTTAAAGAACATAAAGTTCAAAGGAACAGCATTTATTTGAAATATTATTTTTTGAAACATTTTAAATGTCTTTACTGTAACTATTGGTCAATTCAATGCATCCTTGCTGAATAAAAGTATTAAATTATTTAAAAAAAAACATTGTACAGACCCGAAACTGCAACGTCCATCATCTCACCTTTACTGGAAGATGCCTGCCTGATATTTTAGCACAGGCAATCTCAGAGCTGCTCCTGCGAGGACCCCTGCGCCTAGCAATAACATCCTGCACCACGGGGCTCCCTGGTGGCCGTTCAGCACCCTCAAGACCCCTACTAACACGGTAGTGGTTACTGCAGCTGACATTGTACCTGAATCAAAAGGTTCAGAAGTCAGCGATAAACAATACACACTCAATCAGGTTTATTCATAGTTGGTTACATTTTGTCCATATATTTTTTTTTAATTAAAAATCTTTTAAAGAATCTATCAATGATATGGGATGATTTTGGTCTTACCTCTTGGCACAGGTTTTGGAACAGAAGCGCTTGGATCGTCTGAACTGGTTGGCTGGTGCAAATCTTTGACAGTATTCACACTTTAACTCTGTAAACAATATATAGACACAATGTGTGTGTGAGAGAGAGAGACTATAAATGATATGTCTAAACAACTTAAACGGTTTTTCCACAAAGCTTTGTTTGAAACGCACGACCACTCACTATCAGAACGGATGTTCTCTCGGTGTAGGATGGGTGGAACAGCCACAGGAAGTTCTTTCACTGGCCCAGTCACCTGTCATGTCAATCAGCAGGACAATTTCATGCATGTTCTATTCCTCTCAGACCATTGGTCCATTAATTAATGAATGTTTTAATGCTTGATTATCTTTGTACAGTGGTCTGAAAACACATTTAGCCTTTCCATGAAACACTAGATTTGTATTAAGCAGAAAGACTTACAGGGAAAGGTTCGGCTCCCTCCTGGATAACAAAGCCCTCAATGAGGTGAGTGAGAACCTGAGGTTTGACCACAGCCTGTGGCACAGGTGCTCGATCGCCCTGTCCTCCAACACGAGGAAGAGGGAGAGAAAGAGAGAGAGTAGGAGGAGAAGAGAATGCCATCTCTGGGGCTAAATCAGAAAATAGACAGGGAGAAACAGTTTGTTCAGAAAAGCAAAAACGTTAATAAAAAGACAGATGGGAAGAATAAATACTGCTATTCATACAGAAAATAAATTGTATATATAATAATAAATATATATATATAACCTATTAGTATTTTTAAAGTTTAGCTTTTTAAGTGAGTGTTGTTAAATGATGGCAAATGTAAAAATAGGGGGGAATTGAGTATGAGCAATTAAATATCCAGTATCGACCATTAAGATGAATAAAAAATGGCTTATAACCAATTTGGAACCGATATTATGTGCATCTGTAATCATGACAGGCTGGTTGTACATTTGATAACATGTAGGTAAAGATGCAAATTTGCGTGTTTTTTTTTAAATAGTTTATTAAAAAATACATTTTATAAAACTATGAATTAACCCTTTAGGTATTAAAATGTGACCAACAACAGTTGTGCTGCTTAATATTTTTGTGGAAAACGTGATAAAAAATTTTCTGAATTTGTTGATGAATAGAAAGTTCAAAAGAACAGCATTTATTTAAAGAAGCCTTTACTTTTACTTATGATCAATTTAAAAAAAAGAAATTCTGAATAAAAGTATTCTTTAAAAAAAAAACTAACTAACCTCGAACTTTTTCAATAGTAGTGTATAATTTTGGGTATTTTTGGGCACCACAAAAACAGCATTTTGTATGAAACACTGCGTCTCAGGCATGCCATCCCTTGCCTATGGCTTACCTGTATCTAGTGAGGGAGCTGGTGAAAGAGGAGGGGCGGAGTCTTGCATTAACAGACTTGCATTGATGGTCTCGGTTGACATCTCATTGGGTAAATCGGATTCTGATTTCCTTTTTAATGGACCAATCACAGGCTTTGTCTATAAGAGAAGGAAGATCACACAAGTGTCACAGCATAAACACACCATGAGGAAATACAGTTCACCTATTATCTACTAACCTGAACTGGTCCAGACTGAACGAACACGGAGTCTCCAGAGTTATTCTGTCCATCCATCGAGTGTGTGACAGATGCAGAATTGCCATGATTCAACGCTGCGCACTGATTGGTCTGCATCTGAGACATTGGGAGGGCACTTTGGGCTGTTTTAAGGCACATGCCAGCTCCGCCTGTTTCCCCGGGAGTCATCATAGTAACAACATTGGTACCGGAGTTATTGACGGGCACGACAGCTGTGGCGTCCTGCTGGGCGCAACAGGTCCGAGCCTGGGCCACTGCTAATGCCTGGGAGTTTCCTAGTGTGCTCTGCCTTGCGCCAACCAGCTGAACTGGGACGTGGGGAGGGTGATGGCCCCCAGTGGCCTGGCCATTGTTGGGTGGTGCTGGGAGAATGGGCGGTGGGTGACGAGGTGTCATCTGCACTGGCGGCCGATGCCCCTGAGCCGTTTTGGGTTGAATGGGCACATGCCCTGTTCCATGACCCAGTTTTTCCGAGCTCAGATTCACCCCCGTCTGCTGGAGTGGCTGCACCACTAACGTCTGGGCAGTCATGTTGGATTTGGTTGCCACCGTGCCCATCGGATAGCCTTGAGAAGATGTGGGAACATTGGATGTGGGCACCAGGATGTGGGTTACGGTGGCCGCAGCAGCTGGTACTCCTCGAGCTTGGCACAAGCCAGATTGAGAAAGGAGGAGCTGGGAGAGAGGGAGCGAGGAGGAAGGCGAAGAGGACGGAGGGTTGGAGGAACCTCCTGCTTGCTGTGGGGTGACAGCGGATTGATTGGAGCCCTTCACAGTGAGACCAGACATATTGGGATTGGTGGTGTTGGAGTAGTTTTGCAGTTTGGTGTTGGCGAGCGGTTGAGTCTGCGCTTGAATCTGCTGAGCTGACTGACCAAACTGCTGCTGAGTCTGAGGTTGCTGGTTAAGTGGGTATGAACCTTAAAGTCATAGAAAGATAGAGAAACTACAGTTCATTTCATAGTGCATTTGGAAATGACGGCAGCAGACGCATACATCTAGGAATTTGAAAGGAAATGTATAACAATAAGCAACATTTGAAAATGAATAGTCAATAATTGTCAATACTGAAATGTTATGCAATATTCTGTCAGATAAGGTAAATTATCTATCTGGCTGACATGAAGTATTGTAACAGCCTTGGTAGTATCATTTAGAATAGGTTGAAAATTACAAGCCAATCTGAAATGTTTTGCTCATCAAGACTGAATTTATGTAATTAAAATTACAGTAAAAACAGTAAAACTGTTAAGTATGACAATTTTAAATAACTGTTTGCTATTTGAATCTTTTTTTAAATGCAACTATTTTTCTGTCATGGAATAAAACTTTTTTTTTTTCAAATGTCATGAATATATGTGAATAATAAAAAAATACATGTAAAGATGAAACTAGAATACATTTATATTTTTCGTGTTGGGGCAGGGCAAGCGGAAATCTGAACTACTGGCTCAACTGGGCAAGCAGAAATAACCTGTTGAGGCCTATAATATCTTAATTTTATTCCTCACCACTCGTCTCCTTCCTGTCTGCAAACTCGGTCTTCACAGTAGCCACCCTTGGAGTGGACACGCAACGCATTGCCAAGTTCTGTACCTAAAAATGGGAGAGACAAAAAAAATAATGCAAGAGCCAAAACAATGAAAAGTGTGAAAGGGACCAACATCACAATGAACAACAATCTCAACACTAAGGTCTAACGGGCCATGATATGACAGGTTTCCACCGACAAGTAATTTGTCTTTTTAAAAACTAAAGGTGAAATTCTGTAAAACAGAATTACAGGCAGTAAGAATATCTTTGATGTTTAATGGACGCTTTTCACATTTCCGGGGTTCTGAGAAGCGGATGTCGCCATAGTTGGGTAAACTTCTAAAGCGTAAACGGGAGCAAATACAATTTTTGTATTTCCATTTGCTCCAGTAGAAAAAGAAAAAAATCTGTGATTTCCAAAGAGGGAAAAAATATAGAGAGATTGATTACAGCAGTGAGGAGAGAGAAAGATGTCAAATTTGCCATTATTCCCTCAGTCGTTGTATTAGAAACACCCTCTCATCAGTATTAATACATTTGGCAGTGGTTCATGTAGGTTGTCTACAAACCGGAAGGTTGGTGGTTCAATCCCCGGTTCCACCTGACCAAGTGTCGAGGTGTCCATGAGCAAGACACCTAACCCCAGCTGCTCCCGACGAGCTGGATGGCGCCTTGTTTATCGTGCAATTTCTACGCAGAAATTAGTTTTTACGTGCATAGGATACGCATGGGTAGGTTCAGTAGTGGTGTGGGTGTGTAGCCTATTATACGTTTGGTTAGGATTAGTATGGCAAGCCAAGAGGTTCAGAATTACGCCCTAAATTAATCGCGTTTAAAGCCAAACCCCGTCAAATTAAGCTTGATGTGTATATTGCCTAATTGCAAGCTTGTTCAGAAATGGTGACAAAAACTTAAAAAATAACGGCTTTTCCATCATTATAGGATTATTAGGTTGAATGAGTAAGGATTAACTGTTTTATTAATCATTAGAATATAGACATTAAGAGAAAAATTGTTATGCAAGTACTTTTACTTTTAATACTTAAAGTACATTTAAAATCAGGTACTTTTTACTTAAGTAGGGTTGTCATTGTGGTACTTCTACTTTCATTAAAGTAAACATGTCTCTGGTTATTTGTACTTTTACTTAAGTACTGAGATTCAGTACTTCCTCCACCACTGGTAATATAACACAAAGTATAGCGTTATAAATTGATTACAAATGAAAATATGAAAAACACTAGATTTGTGATGTGGAATGAGATTTCTCAGTTGAAAAAGAAAGACACACAAACCAAGCGACATAAAGAATGTCTTGTTGCATGGTGAAGATGTTTAGGAAATAGGATTTATACCACAGTGTAAGAGTAGAGACAAAAATCACTCAGAAGGCCAAATGTCACACCTGATCATTGTCTGACTGGTTACTTGAGGATGTAGGAGTCGTTTCCTGTTGCTGCTGCTGGGTTTGCTGTTGGGCAACCGTTGCCACAGCAGCTGTCGCTGTACCACCAGGCATGAAAATGAGCTGAGGGGCGAGAGGTGTCTTGAGAGAGCGGTTTACCTGTGTGGTGGAAAGACCAGTTAAATCACACCCTTAGGAAAAGAGCGAGGTTGGATAAATATTATACTAATGTTCACCAGGTGAACAGTTTCATACTGTTGTTATGACAAGTTGTAAAAAGATATGTTAGGTCTATGTCTGGATTTAAGTACTATGACAAGGCACTTACTCTCAGGTACATCTGACCCTGTCCACCAGAGTTTCCACCTAACAAAACTGACTGGCTAAGGGCTGTTGATGTTGCCAAGGTGGCAGGTCCTATCGGACGGGGGTTTGACATGGTCCCTCCGCCAGAAGTGGTACTTAAGTTCACCTAAAAAAAGCACACCACAGATCAGCTTTTACTTATTTAATGAAACATTCCAAAATGACCATCAAAAGCATTAAGCGCACAAGCAGAGAATCAGAAACTGAGCATAGTTATCATACTTAGTTATGATTCTCATACATACATATTTATGATACCAGCTGCTTTACAGATTAATTGAACTCCGTTTGCATCACTGAATCATTTTCCTGTTGATCACTGTAAAGCTGCCTTGAAACTTTCTATATTGTATAAAGCGCAATAAAAGATTTGCAACACTTATTTAATAGATTTAAAACCAGAGACTCACTGTGCATTGTGCTGTGCTTGTAGCTTGAGAGACGCTGTTACTGGGAGAGCTGGACTGACGACTGGCTGCAAGAGTTGCCTGAAAATATAAAAAGGAAACCTCTAAACAACATTTGCAGAACGACACTACAAGCAGAATCAAATCTTTAAAGGGTGGTGCATTTTTAGATCTGAAAATAATTAGCAACCTATCATCACATTTAAGAAACTAAATGAAAGAATATTTTTCATTGAATGTCAATAATAATAATGGTAATCATAAATAAAATAACATCAATAAAAATAAATAATAAAATGATCATTAGTAATAATTATTCGTTTTTTTGCAATAATTTGCAATAAAAATCATACAACTACAATGTTACATGATGTCACAAAATAATTACATATGATGCAAAACAATGCTTATATATAAACAAGATTATCTATACTACCATTCAAAAGTTTGGGGTTGGTAAGATTTTTTAATGCTTTTGAAAGAAGTCACCAAGGTTGAATTTATTAAATTCAATAACACAGTAAAAATCGTAATATTGTGAAATATTATTATAATTTAACAGATTTCTGTTTTAATACATTTTGAAATGTGATTTATTCCTGTGGTGGTAAAGCTGTATTTTCAGCATCATTACCCCAGTCTTCACTGTCACATGATCCTTCAGAAATCATTCTAATATGCTGATGTGGTGCTCAAAAAATATTTAGTATTATTATTATTATTGGAGACTTCAGATGCCCCAACACCTGCGATGAGATGACTAACCGCCCGTGAAGAGACGACTCGACGCCTGTGAAGAGACGACTTAACTCCGGCGATATGTTATGCCCTAAATTAATACATGATTAACTAACTGTATTTTTCTATGTACATTTCTGAAATGCACTTTCTGTAAAGCTGCTTTGAAACAATATGTATTGTGAAAAGCACTATACAAGTAAATTTGAATTTAATTGAATTATTATCAGATACCCAGTATTCTTTGATGAATAGAAAATGAAAAAGAACAGCACTTTTTTTGGAATAGAAATCTTTTGTAACATTATAAATTTCTTTACTATTACTTTTGATCAATTTAATGCAACCTTGCTGTAAAAAATATTAATTTCTTTCAAATATTTTTTTTTTATAAAATACTGACCCCAAACTTAATTTATCCAACCAGGTAAAGATGATGAATACTCGAGTGAAACACTAGGGCAGCGATTTTAGTCCTACAGACTAATTTTACAAGCTGGTGGAATTATTTTAAGATACTTTGCATAATTTGGTTGTTTTTCATCATCCATCAGGGCAAATATCTCCTGCTCCAAATATATTCCTGCTGAACTAAAATGATTTTTTGTGGATTTTGCATGACATGACTGACTGAATTACCAGACCTGTTGCACAGCAGCCAGGTTGTGGAGTTGAGCGCTGTTGATCTGCTGCTGGAGCATCAGCTGCTGGAAGTACTGAGCTGCATTGGGCTGCCTCTGTAATGCCTGCAGAGCCTGGGAACATATTTAAGAGTACAGACAACTACATTTCCCAAAAATCAAGACATTCTAAGTCAAACCGAGGCACTGAGGTGAATAAGTGATTTAAATGACACTTTAATTTGGCTGTAAGTCTAGATCGCTGTGGCTTTGTGACCCACCTGCACAGCTTGCCTTTCATAAAGAGACATTTGAGCTATCTGAGGGGGGCGGGAGTTTCCCCCTGATGCTGCACTGCTATTGGCTGAGCTGGAGTTGGTCTGGTCTTCTCCTGCCTCCATGCTCACTGGATGGACGACCAGTCAATCAAACTTTGTAATAGAATACCAGAGAAAAATATGCACAAACAAAACAATTTAGAACGGGGTTTTATGCTTAATCCGTTTCATAAAATGTTAATTAAAACAGATAAAAGTCGTTTGAACACTTTCGCAAAGACACACTTGTTAACTTGTAAGAGCCCCTAAGTCTTTTAAAATCTTGAGTAGAATATCTTTAAAATAATGCACCGATATCAAGTAAGTTAGTTTTAATATACATAACAGTAATAACGAATAAGTAACTGTTTTAGTTATCTGTCATCTGCGGGTGATCGAGGTTCTGTGCAATATTTACGTATCAGCAAGTTGCAAAGCTTACTAGACAAAATAACACCGTGCACAATAATTTATTTTAATATGTGTATGAGCAGACGCAATGCATAGGGTGAAAATAAACACCATGTCCACTCCCAGTATCTCAACTGCAGCTGCAAAAATGTTGGCGGACTGGCGACTCCTAAAGTGCCAAACAGACATAATTTTACCTCTCTGCGATCGGCAGTGTTTTTGCTTCCCCCTCTCGTAATGGAAACAACCAGCTGGAAACGTTGAGTCCACAGTGCCTGTAATCGAAGTAATATAGTTCCGCTATGTGTTTATTTCTATATTTTTTTGCTTTTTTAAGTATTGTTGGAATTCTTCAAACAACGGTGATTGTGATGAGGCTAAAAAAAAAAAAAAAACCGATGAAACACCTCCCCGCCCCCCGTACTGTTTACTATTCTTTTTCCGGCGCCAAAAATGACGTACCAGATAGAAGTCTGAAGCGTTGTCTTATAATTACATAATAAAAGTCTCGTCTGTCTTTCTGTCTGCCCATCCACCTATCTGTACACATCTATCTATCTATCTATCTATCTATCTATCTATCTATCTATCTATCTATCTATCTATCTATCTATCTATCTATCTATCTATCTATCTATCTATCTATCTATCTATCTATCTATCTATCTATCTATCTATCTATCTATCTATCTATCTATCTATCTATCTATCTATCTATCTATCTATCTATCTAATCTAGGCCTGCTGTACATACATGCAATATATATAGGCTAATATGTGTTAGATATTAAAAAAAATAAAATAATCCAGGAGTGGAAACTACCAGTGCCAAGTTCTTGAATCTAAAATCCAACATTTTGATCCATCAAATAACAAATAAATATATTATGTGTGTACTGTATGTATTCATTTATACATTTAAAAAAAATCAAATGGTGAATTTTCCTTTTTTTGAGTGTATATGCTGCTATACCATTACACAATAATTTAAAATATTTTTAAACATTTTAAGGTAAATTACTTTTTATAAATATAATGCATTTTTGAATATCAAGACTATAATTTTCTTACCACATTTGTCATGAATAAAATAATAAATTATAAGTTATAACTATATGTTTTTTTAAGTCACATTTATGTCAGTTATGCCTCATTAACTTTGATTTGGCCAAGCAATGTATTTAAAATGTTATTATATTTTAAAAGATTTTTTTTTAATTATTCTAATTTATTTCAATTATTCTTTTACAACTTTTATTACTGAAATTCCATCTTTAAAGAGATTTATGCAAGCCATTTTTATATGACTCAGCCCGATACTTAATGATTTACGAAAAGAAGAACACAATCTAAACACACATGACATCAGCTAGAAAACGAAAGTGTGCCTGAAAAAGGCTTGCATGGAAATGACTCATTTACAATCTGGACTGACCTGTTTTTCAGCTGACAGATCACCTGAAAACATAAGCACAGGTAGTCATGTTAGCCTATATGCGCTTGAAGTCTTGACAAGATTTGACTGCTTGAAGTTCGAACCATATAAAAACCTCAGTAAGTATATATTTTCTACACTGTTTTAGAGACGACACTTATTATGTATGTTATATATCAGCAATATGAGTAGTCAGACTTAAATTAGATGTAGTCTACCTAAACAAATGCTTCATATATCCTGGTAATTACAAAAACACACAAATGGTTAACATATTTTAACATGATTTACTGAACAAAAGTGAAGTGTTAACATTTTAAAAGAAGTGTAAACTTTAAGACTAATAAAGCATAGAGATCACATGACAGGTTGTGGCACATGCAAATTTCCAGATGCCATGTTGGTTTACTCTAACAAGATTAAATCAGATTTTTAAATAGATATTTATATTCCATTATAATAGGGTGTCTACAGATATAAACAATTTAAATTTAAGACTTTTTAAGACCTTTTTAATACCACCTTGTATGAAATTTAAGACCAAACTTGTGATGGAAATACACATTACATTACATACGTATATGTAATAATTAATGTTTAATATAAAAAGAAAACTAATTATAAACGCTGTTATACATGCTATTTATTATTATGATATACGGTGAACTTTCATATCAACAGACAATATCCCATACAAAAAATCTCCACAAAAGCACAGCATCACCGAGATGTTTGGTTGTGTAAACATAGTTTATTCTGAAGAAATATTTTTTTGTCAGTGTTCTATCAGTGTTCTATCAGCTTTTCCATACACTGTAAAAAAGTCGCTGCCTTAATTTTTTAAGTGCAATCAACGCAATGCTCATATTTTCCAGATATAAAGAATTTTAAAGATAAAAAACATGAAGCCTACAAGATCCAGCGTGTGGTGTACGGAAGCAGAGGCTGGTGCAGAGAAAGATGGGAGATGGAAAAGGGAAAATTGGTTGGATAGGCAGAAGGGATGGAGTAATGTTGACGAGCTAGAACTGAAAATAAGGATGGAGGTCGGCTTGACTGAAAATACAGGTGGAAAGAATGAAAGACAAACACAAAATCAGGCTTTAGGACATGCTACAAAAGGACAAAGTCAAATGAAGCATTCAAGAGTTTGGGTATCTGGGAGTGGAAAGACAACTTCTAAAGAACAGATGAACAAAGAAGCAAAGGGACAATGGAGGAATGAAGACTTACTAAAAGAACATGTTAGTGTAAAAAGTCCAACTAAAGGACCACAGCTGGATGTCAGTTCCCATTTTTCCAGTGGGGCTGATGCCGGAGTTGACAGTTCGGAACCAGGATTTAGGCTCCAGTCTAGGGTTTCTTTGAATGAAAAAGCACATCCTGGCTCCAGATTGGTGACCAGCTCTAGCACCAGCCCCAGTGGAATGTCTGTAAGTGACTACCTTGTACTTCTAAAGTCACTCCGGATTAACCTGCCCAAAGGTGTTTTAAATCCTAAAGTCATCAGGCTATCACAGAATGCAGGCATCATTCAGAAAGCCCAGGATATTGTAAAAGAGCTGGAAAACTTCAAGCTTCAGTTTAACAGCATTCCACGTCTTGGCTGCAGGGAACTTAAGAACTCACTGTCACTGAAAGACAATGGAAAAGTTCTTGAAATCACAGTGATGATTTTCTTTGAAAAAAGAGAAGTTTCCGAGGCAAATCTAAGAGCGCAGTGGAGAAAGAATGTATCAAACACAAGCTGTGGATTCAGGTTCAGAGACAAATACAAGACAATGGCCATCTCCACACCCGCTATATACGCTACAACACAGACAAGGAGCTGGAGACAGTTAGAAGTTGGAGACAATCTTGCAAACATTTCTGAGGGTGTGACAGTAAATGTCCATGACATTGAGAACAGAGACTATTGTGACGAGTCAGCTCTATGGACGACCTCCTCTCCTCAAAGGTTCGGCAAATATTTCCAGAACCCAGAAGATGAACGTGAATGCCTCAAGTTCTACCATGAGCTGCAAACAAACAGGACAGTGAGGTACACCAAAGGTAACAAAGTAGAGTTTGGATTCATCACTGGAAGACTAGACTTCTTAGCAGAAGTAAAAGGGGAAAAAAGAGAAAAAATGGTGATTGAGTGTAAAGGAACCACTGGAGATATGATAAGCAAAGTCTTCACTAAACCAAAAAATGGTGGTCGTTGTGCAGACCTTAATGAAACACATGAGTACTGCTATCAAGTTCAGGCCTACATGTACATCTTAAACAGGGTAGCAAAAGGCTTCAACTCTGACAGGGCCGTCATGGTGTTTAGACAGTACCACAAGAATGGTAGAGAACCCAGAGATTTCTACTGGAATTACCTGAAAATGAATGAAGCAACACAGCAGAAAATCAATCAATTGCGTGTTTTCTGTGAAGAAGAGGTTCTGTCCTGTTTCCTGGCTGTTCTACATCTGGTATTCCAGAAAGCCACATAAGTGAAGAACTTCTAGAAGTTAAGTCTCAATTACAAAATTAAATACGCTTGTAAGGACAGTGTGTTGGGTAGAAACGTGACATGTTACAAAGCATTATGTTGCTAAAATAGATATTATAAGAATCAGGAACTATAATTTTTTTTTTTTAAAAAGCAGTTATGGTTTTATTTCTCCATAGGTCAGTAATTCACATACCGGCCAGGATTAATATAGTTTTGAATATAAAGAAATAGACAATACCATACAATGCCATTTTTTGCTCATTATTGATTATTGCTATCGCTGACGTTTAGGGTCAGGGTTCCAAACTTATGTTTCTAAGCAAATTGAGTTATGTTTTTCCAGTTCAAGCGGGCAAAACTTTTATTAATAAGAAAGCACCTTCGAAAAAGCAGCAGCCCGAATTCGTTCATTCGTTTCCTCCTTCAAGTGGACTATGTTAGTGACTGTATGTTCTGATGTCGGTTAACAACACATGATATGCAGGCACAAAAATGTTTTATTTTAAAATAATTTTTTTAATGTCACATTTGTATGATTTGACATAAAACCATGAACCGCCCGCAGTTCCAAAATATAAAATGCATATAAAATGCATTGTAATGACTTTGTATGAGATTTCCACTGTATGTTTGAAGTAATATGTAAATAAATTGCTTTCAGATTGATTCATGTAAAAAATGGTATGCCTTTACAATTTAACAACATAAACTAATAAAGTGAGTGCCTTATTCGAGTGTCTGCCCCCTCTCGACATCACTTTTTCATTTCTCTATTCTCTCGTTGGTTAAGTCCCCCTCCTCTCTCTCTTCCTCTTTTTCCTGCTCCCTCCCTCTCTCCCCTGCTGCCTTGCCTCCTCTCTCTAAGAGAGTTTGGTCAATAATTGATGAATCTTGCTTACTGAAAGGGTAACAGGTCTATAGCAGTAGTCCATTGCCCATTCATGTAGTCCTCCCAGAGCAGTTTTTTTGAGAGGCTGTATAAACGCTACACAAACAGTTTAAGACGATTTCAGCGAGCAAATATTCACCATTGTATCTATTCAAAGCATTTTAGTTGGTCTGTATATGTGCAGTAGTTCACCGACCTCTGATGTCAGTGGCAGTAGATGGGCATGCAAGAGTTACTCCTGTCAGTCAAAAGACAGCAGGAGACAAGGAAGGATGTAAGGAGAGATTAAATGAGAGAGTAGCAGGGGGCAGAGAGAAAAGAGAGAGAGAGAGAGAGAGAGAGAGAGAGAGAGAGAGAGAGAGAGAGAGAGAGAGAGAGAGATGGATACACATACACACACACACACGCACACACACACAGAGAGAGAGAGACAGAGAGAAGCAGTTAATTCCCTATCAGGAGTGATGGCCTGCATGCCTGGTTAGCATATTTCTGTGGCTGTCTGTAATAAACACTTACCATGGAGGGGAGAAACGAGAAGTTGTTCTCCAGAAAAAGAAGTTTCACATTCGGAGCTTACGGAGGGTGAGTAAATAAGACAAATAGCATTCAGTTACTACTGTAATTTGAACACAATGTTGTCTGAATTAAGAAATTCTTAAGAAGTTCCATCTTTATTCTCTTCACAGGATTGACAAGTTCATCACTGGAAATGAGAGCAGGTCAGCTTACAGTTTGGGTTTGTTGCTGTTCTCAGGTGTTTGAACTCAGTTATCGCATGCAGACTTTTCCATGACGCTTGTCTCTGTGTGTTACAGTTGTGCAGAATCTGTGAGTCACAGCATACTGGATATTTTGGATTCCCCCTCCAGTGAGGCTAAGCCACTCACTTCTGCACCGTCCAGTCAGAAGGTAAGAAATCTCCCGTTTTAGACGTTCTGAAGATGTTGAAAATGAAACTATGGAGATAGTAAACGCATCATGGAAACATTGAGGAGAAACTGGACAAATGACATTTTATATTGATAATATTCTGATTATACCTTGCAGGGTGCATTATCTGAAACATTCACTGCTTCTGTCATTTCCTCGTCATTTCTCTGCAGGTCACTGAGTTGTTTGCAATCATTGAAAAGCTACAGGTAACGTCATGATCTTTCTCTCCACATTCTTATTCAGAGTAAACAACGCAGTGTAAAATTGAAATACAGTATGGTTGCAATGATGATGATGATTTCACTGTGATTGTGTTTGTCTGCAGGGTAGCAGATTGGATGAACAACGTTGTGAGTTCCCACCACCTCTCAAGGTAGGGGTTTTACTTTTACCTATAAAAATATAAATGAGCGCTGGTTACCCAAAACTATTTATTTATGTGAAAGTTTCAGTCTATAGAGAATTAATTTAGCAAATCATAAGGGGTGTTTCTTCAACTTTAACCACTTTTATGTACCAGGTTTTATTATTTTTTATAAATGAAGGTCACATTTAAAATGTCTTTTTTTTTTTTTTTAAGAAATGTCATTTTCATCACAGAATACTATTAAACACACAGTATATACTTTGTGGTGGAATTTCTCTTACAAGAGTACTCTCGTGTTGCGTAAGCTAGCTTACACTATGGGAAAATCCCTTTTTTCGAGAATACTGAAGCCAAAAAATGATCCTTAATTTTACATTAAAGGTACAATATGTAAGAATTTTGTAATAAAATATCCAAAAATCACTTGCACAGTGTGATATATTTCCTGCAGTTGTGTACTTACAAAATCCCAAAAGTCTCCAAAGATTTTTTATTTCAGAGAAATTCCAATTTTAAATAAGTGGCCGCCCCGGAAAGAAATGTCGCCTGTCACGCTATCCTCGGTTTCCGTTCATACTGCCATAGCCATGACGTAACCATGGCGACAGACGTGGAGAACTGCGTCATAAACCTACGCCTTTGTTTATTGTTGGAAACTGCAACCTCTTGTGGCGAAAAAAACCTACATATTGTGCCTTTAATTTAAAACGCATTGCTGCACAGAGCAGACCTAGGCGAGGCAGCTCACACACCTATTGGTTGCTCTGCGGCAACTGCTGCAACCTATCGTGGGACTGTACGTGACGTAAGCACCAATGAGGGTGCGGGCGTCACGTCCCGCCAGAAGGGGCGTGGCTTATGTCTATATAAGCAGAGTCCAGATAGGGTGTTCTTTGATTTTTCACCTCTTCAGCGAAGTGTTCACTTTACATCGCTGGTCTCCGGAGAAGCCTACGCCGTCGAAAAAGCCCTATCAGCGGGACGAGCCATCTTCTCGCCGCTTCACTGCCGTTCCTGCTGCGCTATCCGGCACCCATATCCTTTTCAAATCTTTCTCCTAAAAGAGCCGAGGCATTATAATGCCTAGTTTTTCCAAATGAGGCTCTTGTCGAGCCCCTCTCAGCAACGGGGACGGTCACATCTTGTGCAATTCCTGCCTGGGACTTAACCACGCGGACCTTGCGCTTTCCAGGGGCGGCTGCCCGGTATGCGACATGATGGCTGTCTCGACCCTGCGGGCTCGATTAGCCTCTTTCACTGCGGACCCCTCTCCTCCGCTTCTCTCGTCAGGGCCGCGCCGTAAGAAGCGCCGTTCGCAAAGAACCCCGGAGGACATCCCAGCGAGCGACCGCATGCCGGCGAGTTCCCCGTGTGCATCGCTCTCCGGTTCTCCCGCCTCGATCACGGCCGGCCAGCACCCCACCGCTCCCGCCGTGCATCTCGAGTCTGAAGGGGACAACGCGGCTGAGGACGCCTGTTCCCTCTTCGCTTCAGAGAGCGAAGGATGGTCGGGCCCCGATCCGGACCCCGCCCCTTCCCTGCAAAAGTCGAGCGGCGTGCGGGCCAACAAAGCTCTTTTGAAAAGATCGTTCAAAATGCTCACGACCAGACAAATCCTCGCGCAAATTCGCCCGAGGGACTGGTTTATTTCAGTGGATCTGAAGGATGCATACTTTCAAATTCAAATAATACCCCATCACAGGCCTTTCTTGCGATTCGCCTTCGAGGGTCAAAGCTATCAGTACACCGTCCTGCCGTTCCGTCTATCTTTAGCACCCCGTACTTTCACGAGATGTATGGACGCGGCGCTCGCCCCCCTGAGACTTTGGGGGATGGGCATACTGAACTATCTGGGCGACTGGCTTATTCTAGCCCAGTCAGAGTCAGAATTGATAGCGCACATGGCTTTATTGCTAAACCATTTGCAAAACTTGGGTCTCCAAGTCAACTGGACCAAGAGCTCGCTGTCTCCCAGCCAGAAAATGTCTTTTCTGGGAACAGACTTAGACTCTGTTTCAATGACAGAGCGGCTGACGTCACAGCCCGCGCTGCGGATACAATGCTCAGCAGCGTCATTCAGGGCCGACAGTATTCTCTTTCTCAAGAACTTTCAGAGGATGCTTGCTAGGCCTTATGGCTTCGGCCTCGGCAGTGCTTCGGCTGGGCCTACTTCACATGCGCCCTCTCCAGCACTGGCTGAAAACGCAGGTCCTGCTTCGAGCATGGACTTCAGGTCACCATGAGACTTCGCCTCAGGGTAACCCAGAACTGTGTTACAGCTCTGGAACCCTGGAAGGTGTCAGACTGGTACCAGTCAGGCGTGGATCTGGGAACGATCTCGAAACTGAAAGTAATCTCGACAGACACCTCCAACTCAGGTCAGGCCGGTCTTTGGCCTGTGGACAGCCCAGGAAGGGCGCTTACACATAAACTGTCTAGAGATGAAAGCGGTCGAGAACTCCTTGGGGCATTTTCTCCCTTTCTTGAAGGGCCACAATGTCCTAGTCCGCACGGACAACATGGCGGTAGTGTCCTACATAAACCACCAGGGCGGCATAGGCGGAAATCGCGGGGGGGTCGGGGGGGTCAGGGGACCCACACCCATAGAGTACGCATACACTACGACTACGTGATGTACGTTAACGTTAGTCTTGTAGCACTCACGCTCTCTCAGTTTAACTTCATTCAATAGGGTGCCAGATTTCTATAGAGTCTTCCAGGTGAAAACCCGGCTAAAAATTCTTCAAACCCATACATTTTTTGTAAATAAGTTGTTTACACAAAACAACTTATTTACAAAAAAATTATGGTTTTGAAGAATTTTTTTGGTCAATTTAGTCAGCTTTTTCATTAAACCAGAAAGAAACTTTGAGAAGAATGATAATGGAACGGTCTCCATGCTACACTAATAATAGTAGTAAGTAGGGGTGTGACGAGACGCTTATCTCACGAGACGAGACTAGACACGAGATTGGGTTCACGAGAACGAGACGAGACGAGATTTTTGCACAATTTTTCAGAAATCCTCAATGACAAAATTCATGGCTGGAAAAATAGTATGCAGGTGCATTTTTCAATGTTTTAACTAATAATCTTCTAATGCATGTCATTTCAGGTCTACTTTATGAGTATGAATTATCAAATGCATTGAAAGAAAACAATATTCAAGCACTGTAAAAGGTTTTTATTGACTGGCTTTTCTCCTGTATAATTTCACATTAGTCTCTTCAGACCTTACTGTACATTTAAGAGCTTTCAGAACTTCTGATTGAGGCTGTGTGTGACCTCCTAACTGAACTCCTTTTAACACACATTTAACAGAGAAATAAAAACCGTATAAATAACAAAAATAAATAACTGTTTTCTCTTAGTCTTATTAAGTGCAAACAATAAGTGCGAGTGCAACCATAATCAAAGTTAGCACACAGACTCTTTATAATTGTTGTGAAATTGCGGTTTTATTTTGCACCGGCAGTTATAGGGTTAATGCGGTGAGTTCGGAAAAGGCCGAGAGAAACGAGGCTGTTTGTCTCTACAGTTGTTCTTGCGTTCCGATTATAAGTTCAGAAACGGAGCCTCCCTTGTCTGTTGTCCTTTGTACGTTACAGTGCTCTCTCAATATTCGCAGTGCCAACAGAGACCAGAGCCGCAAATAAACAGTCCAGAGATGGGTATTGGGAGACGGATTATTTTATGTATGCAGCCTAATTTGTGCGCAATGCACATCAGGGAGCTTGTGTTTTACTTTCACTTACAAATTCGTGACCGCGCGTATAGGGAGCAGCGGTGCTGAGCGCGCATTCTAAATGATAAGACATTTACCAGACGTTTTAGTCTGTTGCGCAACGAATCCTCCGCCATCGTCATGCGATCAGTGAACTGTGATTCGTGCTGCACTGATTGCAACGGCAACTCGCGCTGGATGAGCAGAGCAGACTTTTGCATTAGTTTATAATGGTTTTTATTTTTTTATAAAAACAACAAAACGATAGTTTAGGCGAATGTGAGTGTAGCGGTGGAATATTAATGGGGATATCGCGAGACAGCTTTTTCACTCGACGAGAAATCTCGTCATATTTAGTCTCGCGAGATCTCGTGGCACGAGATCTCGTCACACCCCTAGTAGTAAGGCTTTCCTCGGTGTACACATATCCTTGCAAGTACAATTTTGCCTGTATTATTGGTGTCCCCTTCAAAAATTGCTCTTGAGAATTGTTATGTTTAATGTCCCCCCCAACATTTTGATGAAATTTTCGCCCCTGCAGGGCGGTCTCAGATCCCGGAGCCTTCATGCACTGGCAGAATGCCTCCTTGTGTGGTCTCAGCACAACATGCGCTCGCTAACAGTGGCACATGTGCCGGGCTGCCGGAATGTGGGTCCGGACATGCTGTCCGGAGACAAAGTTCCCCCAGGGGAATGGTCACTGCACCCTCAGGTAGTCCAACTACTGTGGGACAGCTTTGGCAGAGCAGAAATCGATCTCTTTGCGTCATCAGAGAACGCGCACTGCCCAATATTTTTCACAAAAAACAAGGACGTGCTGGCCCACAGCTGGCCCAGCTGCCCGCTCTATGCGTTTCCCCCGATCACACTGTTGCCACAGGTGATCAAGCGAATCAGGGAGGACAAATGCTCTGTGCTCCTCGTAGCGCCGCTTTGAAGGAACAAGGTTTGGTTCCCGGAGCTGATGCAGTTAGTGAGCACGGCCCCGTGGCCTATCCCAGTGAGGACGGATCTCCTCTCTCAGGTCAGGGGCGCGATTTGGCACCCGCGCCCCGACTTATGGGCCCTGCACGCATGGACTATCAACGGGTACCCGCTGATCTCCCACCAGGAGTGTTAAGTACAATTACACAGGCTAGAGCGCCCTCTACTAGACGGCTCTATGCTTCAAAGTGGTCAGTGTTTTCCGGGTGGTGCTCGGCTAAAAACCTAGACCCACAGCGCTGTGGCGAGATTCTCTCCTTCCTACAGGAGCTTCTGGACGAGGGCAGGTCCCCCTCCACGCTCAAAGTGTATGTTGCAGCCATAGCAGCGTTTACAAAACCCTTGCATGGCCAGTCATTGGGAAGGAACGATCTCATCGTCCGCTTCCTTAGAGGGGCTAGGAGGCTAAACCCTTCTCGACCCCCTATGGTTCCGGTCTGGGACCTTTCCACGGTCCTAGACGCTACGAAAACCGACCCCTTCGAACCACTGCAGTCTGTGGATCTGCGGTGTCTCTCGCTCAAAACCGCTTTTCTCATGGCTCTCGCTTCAGTCTCGCTTCAGTGAGCGCTACGTGCGTTGAGTTTGGGCCTAACGACTCTAAAGTCATTCTCAAACCAAGACATGGCTATGTCCCCAAAGTGCTCTCCACTCCGTTCAGAGCGCAAGTCATTTAACTGTCAGCCCTCCCAGGATCTGATGGTGAGAACGGCGTAAATCTTCTTTGCCCGGTCAGGGTGCTAAGAATATACGTCGAGCGTCCGGCTGCTTTCAGGCAGTCAGAACAGCTTTTTGTTTCGTTTGGCGGCCGCACCAAAGGGCTAGCCGCCTCGAAGCAGAGACTTTCCAGATGGATAATTGATGAATATCGCTCTGGCTTATAAGTCTAAGGGCCTTCGATGCCCTTTAGGCGTTAGGGCCCATTCCACTAGAGGCATGGCCTCTTCATGGGCCTGGTCCAGTGGGGTTTCACTCCAAGATATTTGTATGGCGGCAGGCTGGGCATCTCCGTCTACATTTGTAAGGTTTCACAACCTGGAAGTTCCTGCCCTACAGGCTAAGCTGTTTTCAGTCTAGAAAACTTCCTGACTGACAGACTGTACCATTATTTCTTCATGCAGCTCAGGCTGACTTCGTCCATCCCGACTGTTGTACTGTGCTAAGCACCCATTCCATTAAAACATACATATGGCTATGTTATATTCTTAGTACCACGCCTCGTTGGCCTAGACATTACCCACTATCATGTGTACCCTGGGCACATGCCCTTGGGGCCATGTGTGGACGACCTTAGCACGCACGGCGCTTTACATTGGGTTCCCGTAGCGAAAGCTAGCTTACGCAACACGAGAGTACTCGGTTACTAACGTAACCTCGGTTCTCTCTAGATGAGGGAACGAGTGTTGCGTAACCCTGCCGTGCTTGTAAATTAATGTAAAATTAAGGATAATTTTTTGGCTTCAGTATTCTCGAGAAAAGGGATTTTTCCGTAGCGTAAGCTAGCATACGCAACACTCGTTCCCTCATCTAGAGAAAACCGAGGTTATGTTAGTAACCGAGTACGTATCATTGTGGTGGAATTTATGCTATAAAAAGATGAAACTTCTAGTGATGCACATATATACACTGTTAGAGGAAAAAAATTTAATATTTAGTGAGAGTAAAAAGCATTTTTACTCTCACTAAATTTTTTTATTTTATTTTTTTTATTTTTTTTTATTAATACTTTTATTCAGCAAGGACACTTTAAATGGATCAAAGGGGACAATAAAGACATTTATAATGTTACAAAATAATTCATATTTCATATTCTTAAATAACAAATATTTCAAATAAACTTTCTATTAATCAAAGAATCCTGAAAATTATTTTCCAACAAAATATTAAGCAGCACAACTGTTTTCAACATTGCTAAAATAAGAAATGCTTCTTGAGCAGCCAATCAGCATATTAGAATGATTTTTGAAGGATCATATGACACTGAAAACTGGAGTAATGGCTACTGAAAATTCTGCATTGCCACCATAGGAATAAAATACATCTTTAAAAAACATAAAAGAAATTCTTGCTGACCCCAAACCTTTGAACCATAGTGTATAGTTTCAAGTTCCCATAATCACTATTGATCACTCAGACACGGCTGTTAAAGATTGGAGATGGCTTACCTCTCATCCTGCCCCCTAAATCTGGAGGTTATTGGATCGACCCTCCCCTGGATAGACATGTGGAGACCAGCCCTACTCTCTCACAGGGGGGATTTGGTCTGGAGAGCTATGACATCATGGAGAGAGATAGTGAAGCTAAAGTCTATCAGGAATTCTTCCGACACAGAGTCAGTGATAATGTTTTCTTTTCTTTTTTTTTTCATTTGGAAAACTTCATCAACTCCACATATAGTTTGAATGTTTTTATTATTTGTATGCCTTTCTTTCATCTTTGCTGCAGTATCATCATTCATTCACTGCCTGTGACCCCTCCCTTGGGCCCCTAGTTTTATCTGTTTGTCTTGAGGAAGAGGAAAATCGCCTGAGAGTCATTCTGAGGTTCGTATTTTGTAACCACGTTACATGTAATTCATTATGATGGTGTGCAGTAACCCCCTGTACCACATCATCCTGATTAGTTTTCTTTCTTTCTTCTTTTTTTCCATTTTATCAGAATGAAGGAGTGCTCAATTAATGGCACATTCTCTGTTTCTCTCTTTCAACAATTTCCCACGGCAGTGGAGCTAGCAAAGGTATCTCACAACCCCACAACCAGTTCTACTTCATTCACATATGAATGAAAGTGAATAGAAGTTTAATTAGCTTTCATTTGTTTTTATTTAAGATGCTGTGCTCAAGTGTCAGCGTGTCATTTTTTGAAGCTGTGAGTTACTTAAAGGTACATCTTCCCTTTCAAATCTGTCTGTACTATGATCTGGTGAAAGTGCTAACTTGCAATTCTTCTTTTATAAACTGATAAATTCCATAAAGTAAAAACTTTTCTGACACAATCAATGCGAATGTCGTCCATCATCTCTTTTCTTTCTGCATCGAAAGGCCCCAGAGGTCATAATGGCGTTTGATGAACACAGAGTGTCTCAAAACTTTAAATTCGGTGTCTTATACCAGAGAGAAGGACAGGTATGCAGATACAAAAAATATGCCTTGTTCACCGGTTCACCTAACATGTTCACCAGTTTTCTAATGCCAGCTTTGTTAGTTTGACTAGGTTTGACGAATAAATAGCCTAAATGGATATTTGTAATTTCTTGTTACAGTAACATTATTTTGTTTTCGATGTATGATGTAGTTAACAGAGGAAGATATTCTCACTAACAATGAGGAAAGTGAGGAGTTTTTGGAGTTTTTATCAATACTCGGACAGACAGTCAAACTGCAAGGATTTACTGGGTAAGAGGGTTAGGACTCGCTCCTATTGATATTGATTGATATCAATGTGCTATATCTCACAACCTGATTTTACCAAGTACATGTTCCTGGATCAACATCTTTGATGATCCTGGAACAACATTTCAATTTATGTTTACAGTTTATGTCAAGTTTAGGCTTACATCCAGGGTTTGGTGCTTCTACATCAGTGTTATTCACCTATCATTTCCCTCGGATGTTAGGGATAACTTATTGTTAGGGTTAGATTTAGGGGTAGGGATGGGGTTAGGGCTGCATTTTTGGACAGGAGCATTGTTTCTCGACCTCGATCAATAAAAATATGTTGACTCAGTAACCCGTCTAACTCTGCAAAATCAGGACGTGCATCAATATCAATAACAAAACACTACTTTGAAATGTGTTGTCACCTGCCAAAAGAACATAAACATTTTCCATCTCTTAGGTTCAGGGGAGGACTGGATGTCTCTCATGGCCAGACAGGAAATGAAGCAGTTTTCACTTCCTTCCATGGACGAGAGATTATGTTCCATGTTGTCACCAAACTGCCGTTCACAGAAGGAGATACACAACAGGTTAAATTGAATGAATGTGTGTTGTTTTTTATTTTATTTTATTCAAATAATCAATTAACCTCTTTTACCAAATTTCTGTAACATAGCCTAATGCATGTTAATGTATGCTAACTACTGATGTTTTGCTTTTAAGCAACAGTTCAACAATAAACTAGAAGTTAATATTGAGTAACTTACATTTTAGACGCAACATTGATAGTTGCTTATGCTTAATTGCACCGGCAATGAAAATATTTCCCCCCAAAAAATTCCAATCTGCGTCTCCCATCAACACAGTCGTGGAGGTTCCCGAATGAATCAGTGTGGTTGAACGAATCTGTTGAGTCACTGTTTCGTTCATGAATTAATGATTCACTAAAAAAGTCACTACTCTCGCTACCTGGTGTATCGATATAACTTGCTAAAAGAACCCCTGAAATCCTCACCACTAATACACAGATTGGAACAATCACAGACAAGCGGAGTAATAAGTGCTTGAATATCCTTCATAAAAACAAACAAAAAGTCTTCTTTTCTGTTGAATTACAACCCTACTCTTCTGTTTTTCCTCCTCAGTTGCAGAGAAAGAGACACATTGGGAATGATATTGTTGCCCTGGTTTACCAAGAGGGTCACACTCCCTTTATTTCGGATGTGATCAGATCCCACTTCTTGCATTGTTTCATTGCAGTACGGAGAATAAAGAGAGAAAATGAGGGAGATGGAGGATCATTTCAGGTAAAAGAGAAGAAGCTACATTTAGCTTTATCAACACTCTTTTTAAATTATTTCATTTTAATTGCAGATTTATATTTCAATAAAAAATACAAAAACTAGAGAACCAAAAAGAACAAGTGGGGAATAAGGTTAAAAAATATAAATATAAAAAGTAATTTACAGTTTACTTGAAGTTGTTCTAGCTTTTTTATTGGTGGAGATTTTTTGAAGTGATGATAATAGTAAATGTAAATCAGAAGAAAATACGTTACAGTTAGGTTTAAATTTAGGATACTTTGCTTTGTCAATGTGGTATTTACCCATCATAAAAATGAAATTTAATGTATCATCTAGCACCTTATTGTCAGAAACATCAGAGTTAAAACGCTTTATCAGCACTCACTGTGTACTTCAAAATCTCTTGTTTGATTGACAGGTATCTATCACTGCTAGGGAGGATGTGCCTCCATTTGGCCCACCCCTTCCTACACCGCCCATCTTTACTGAGGTGAGATCACATGACTTATAATAATTCAGAGGTTTCAGCAAGGCAGCTTTCAACCCTCTTACATCAGTACAATTATTTACCATTTGGTCTCAAATAAGAAACATGATAGACCCATTACATTTCCTTTGCCATATGTCAATGTTTATAAAATATAAAATCAACAAATCTCATTATATTTTAAAAACAAACAAAAAAAAGTTTTAATTAGTCCCTGACAATGCTCTGAATTTCTACTTCCAGGGCTCAGTTTTAAGAGAGTTCCTTTTGACCAAACTTATAAACGCTGAAATCTCTTGTTACAAGGCAGAGAAATTCAGTCGACTAGAGGTAACCAACCAACCAGACATAAAACACCTGAACTAACCATTCTCTTATAATATCACAGGCTTATTTTATAACACTTGTGCTTCTATTTCTCTTCTTTTGTGGTCTCAGTCACGTACACGTTCATCGCTCTTGGAAGCACTGCGATCTGAACTGTCTTCCCGTTCCCAATGCATGCTGGGAGAAGCGTCACTACCCAGCATCCCCCTCACTGAAGGGGGGAGGAGTGTTCCAGAGGGTGGTGGAGGATTCATTGAGAACTTTAAGGTAGAAAATCTCAGAGCAATATACAGTAGGCCATGATATTGCTACTGTTTGACATTAAAATGAGCATCAAATAAATCACTTTATGTCTCCCTTTTCATCTTAAGAGAGCTATTAGAGTGCGAAGCCACTCATTCGATACCTTGGGAGTACCAAAGAAGGCAGGTGGTGTAGCAGGGCAGCGACCAAAGGTCAGCAAATACCAGTTACACACTAATATTCTCTTAACACATGTGACAATATATTTTATCATTATTTTTGTGGTTTTGCTAAAGTATGACCATCTTTTTTTTTTTTTTACTGCTAAAACACTGGAAAAGGATGGTGAAAGGTAAGAACAAATACATGCAATATTTGATAATTTTCCTGTGATGTTAAGTGCAATGCAACTCACAGCTTCTCACACAAGTTGTGTATAGTTTTATATTTTACCTCACTCACAGCGAGCAGACAAGCGGAGTGGGATACACTGAAATGAGAGGTCAAACCAGTCCCCAGGATGAACTATAAATGAAGGATGTGTCGCTATTTCGGGACTAAGCACAAAAAAGACTTCCAAGACTTCAAGATAGGTGCTTACCATCCAGTAAAGAGGGCAAAGCACAATTAAGTAAATAGATAATGTAACTAAAACTTTGTATTAAGGTAAGTTGTGACTAGCTGCAAGTGCAATCGTAAAGATATGAATATATAAGATTTCATATTATGTTTATCATCATTTGAATGTCTTCTTTGAAGTAGCATAGTGTAGATTCAGTGGCTGCTTATAACCAATGTACCCCAGTGAAAGTGGGTTTAATTTCTGGAATTGAATTTTGTTTCTATCCAACTGTGATTAAATGTGTATTAAAAATATTTTTCAGTTTGATCTGCAACGAGACCCAATAAATCTGATTAGAACATTATGTATTATTCAGCCTGCCAGGCCCAGGTTGGGGAAAATGCCATATTTTCTATCCACCTTTTTTTTTTCTACATCAAATATACAATTCTATACACCTTATGTGAAGATGTCAGTCACTTCCAGTTTTTAGTTATACAAAAGTGTCATGTTGCTTTATTTTGAAAACTTTTTTTGGTAAACACTGATTTGTAGCACAAATAGCTTTATATGCACTTGTTACTTTAGTCATTTACTTAACAGCTAATGAACCAGAAATCTCACATTCACGTGAAAAATCAGTAGGAACTTTAACCATATTCCGCAGTAATACTTTAAGTCTTGCAACACAACCCATTGGATCCATTTAGAAACCTTTGGGTTAAACAACCGAATCAAGAAAATGTTGAAGCTCATGATGTAATTTATGAACAATTCATTAATGGTAACATTTAGTTTAAGTGTAACATTTTGTTAAGGACAAGCAAATACAATTCGGAATAAACCATTTTTATTGAAAATTTGAGGGAGAAGAGAAACAAAAGCAAGCACTGCTGAGTGTCTCCACCCCCCTGAAAGGGAAGAGTTTAATCCTCCTCTTCATCATCACCGCCTCCACCGCCACCCTGGGCCTTCTTGGCATTCTTTCTCTTCACACGGCCAGGGCGACCACCACCATATGGTGAGCGGAGAGAGAAGTCGATATGCTTCTGGCTGTCCAGCCTCACCACAAAGGAGGGGATGTTCACAACCTGCTTGCGCACCCTGCAGAACGAGAGAAAAATAAAATGTAGCCACATGCACTGAAGGTTATTCACTTCGAGAACTATGTTGCTGCTCTCGAGGCCTCATTCACGAGGAATTCTTGACACCACTGACAATCTGACAGTTTAAAGTTTTTTTAATCACTGGCCAAGAGAATTGTAGCAACATTACAGTACAAGACCTGCCAAAGCGCCCACATACGTTACCTGGTAGACTCTGTTTCGTGCAATAATGCACCCCAGACGTCATGGAAAGCTCTGGCTTTTGGGCTTTTACTACAAGCAAAGGTATACGGTATAATACCGAATTGACCTTGCAGAATATTTCATTCCCACTCACCAGGAGGAGTTTAAACATGGTCAGCTAATGAAAGGGGAAGAAAACCTCAATGCACAAGACGTTCAGGAAAATGGTTTACAATGTTAAAAAGTCCTAAACTAAGGGGGTTCTACACATCCAGCACACTTCTGAATCTTACCGGATGTGCCTCTGACGGATGAGCACACGTGCGTGGTGGATGCTCTTGGCAAGGCCAAGCTTGAAGACCTGGGTCTGCAGCCTCCTCTCCAAGAAATCCTCCACTTTCAAGCCCAGAATGTAATCGAGCTTCATCTTGCCCTCATCTAGCACTCCAATACGCACCAGACGCCTAAGCAAAGCATTACCTAGAATAAGATGATTAAACGGTGAGAAGAAAGGGATAGATACAATACCAAACATCAAAGTTAAAAGCAAATAAATGGCCTCATTGACGAGGAATTCTAGGCAGCACTGACAATCAGACTTGTAACATTTTAATCATTGGCCACTCAGTTTCAGATACAAGTCATACATCATCTACCTTCAAATAGACGTCTAGCATCCTTCTCATCCAGAGTGAGAAGCTCTCTGGCAGCTTTGCGGATTTTGGCCAGAGTGAACTTCACACGCCAGACTTCTCTCTTGTTTCTGAGTCCATACTCGCCTGTGGAAAAAAGGATTTAAAATGTAATGTATACACCAATCACATTAGGTACACAGAAGTCACAAAATATTTTTCCTTCATTTTGTTCTCACCAATGAGTTTCAACTCCTGGTCGAGACGTGACTTCTCGAAGGGACGTCTGGGGGTGACGTATGTCTTACTACAAACCCAACTCCTGGCAACCGGCATGGCGACTTACTGACGCCTGTGAATTAAAAACATTTGATTTGACATTGTAAATTAAAAATAAAATACACTAAAGTTTTAACACTTAACCAGCACAGGGTTTCCTCTTATCTTTGTAACAGCATAAGCCTTCGTATAAAAATATTTTATACCATCATATGGCTTCAAATTATACTTGAAGAACCATGATGTAGTCAACCGTTTAGGCGGAAATTAAATGAACAAATTAGGAGCATGAGAGATCACTTCATGACTAGGCCGTAACGCCTTACACGTTGCGCTACACCGCGCGATATGCAGAGAAACTAGCTTTAATGTAACCAACTACAATACTGGATGTGAAAATTGGTTCCTTACTTAGCACACGTTTCTTAATGTTAGATTAAAAACCTTCAAAGCACGAACGGTGAGTAATTATGACAGAAATAAGGAGGACCAGGCCGCCATTACCTCTCTGTGTCAGGCTCGCAGAGTAAAGAGAACGTGTCCCCAGCCTCGCCGTAAATTTATATACGGCTGTTAAACTACAGTACCCACAACGCTTCGCGTCTTCCGTTTAAATCCCTATTTATGAATTATTTGCTTCCCCCTACTGGCCAAAAGGCGCATTTCTATTAAATGCCCACTTCTATAAACAACAGAGAAATTATTTGATGTCCATTATTCACAAAGGAATTAAAAACGCCTTATTCAGAACTGAGCGAAGAGAAGACAATCACCCATGAAGAATATATGGTCTTTAAGTGGAATTAGAACAGTTTTCCAAGCACACGAATTACTCAACGAAGTCATATTACAAGTGGGGAAACTTGATTCAAGTGTTGCCGGACTGTTGTGACCTTGGTAATGAATTAGCCACTATGAACGAAAAGGCTTCAAGACATCAAATCTAAAGTTGATCACTCTTCTTTCACTGTTTAATTTATGCAAAGTAAATATTTTTTGTTAGATAGGCCTACCATAAATAAGTAATACAAAAATAAAGTACAAGATACAATGAGCATAAAGGCAGCATGCAACAAATGAGACAAATTCAGTTTTTTTTCTTGACTAATTCTTACAAAAAAATTTCTTGACTAATTCTTGCATTCAACTGATTTAGTAGCGTAACTTTTTTTTTTTTTTTTTTTTACAACCAAAGCTTTTTTTTTACATTCACACAATACATTTTTCAAGTGTTAGGCCTACCTGAATTATTATTATTTTTTAAATAAAACTATAAACATATATTGAGTGGGTTTGCATAATAATGGTCCAGTGATTTGAATATGACACTTTGTTCAGTATTCTTGTGAAATAATTGATGATATATAGGCCTATTCTTAAACTTTATGATAAAACAGATTGGCCCCAACATTAGAGCATAATTCATTGTAGAAGTTAGTAAGTTTTAACAATTAAAGAAAGATAATATTAGTTAAACAATGGTGCTGAAAGAAAATTAAAATGTTTTTTTTTTGTTCTGATAATAATGTAAAATACCTACATTTTCATTTACGTTCAATGCTTTCAACATGCAGTTATTGGTTAGAGGTGGAGTTAATGCACTTTTATCACATTTTTTTTCAGACAAGTAAGCCAGCATTTTAACCGTCAGATTTTTAAAACAAAGTGACTCATGCCTGTGGCTTTACATTTTGGCCTTTTTATGTAGCATTTGCTTGTGTCTTTTTCAGTAAGACATGATGAGAAACATACGTGTTATTAAATTTGGACTAAATTATGAATTTTTGCATGGCTTGTTGTTTAATTTCTATTGGTGATACTAGCACAACTAAAGGAGGAAGGGGGGACTATTTATAAAGGAGTGTAACACAACTCTGAGCATGTGTTTCTGTCTATCAAATATACCGACTGACACACACACACAAACACACATGCGGTGTCCCCCAGAGATCTTTCAGTACTGATCTCCTCTGCCATTTGTGAGACAGACTAACTCGGCACTCTTAACTTTTGGAGAAGGTCTTATTTTTGCCTTTTTTAATTATTGTTTTGTTTATTGCTTATTTGTTTTATTAGTGCAGTGAAACCCACTCTTCTTCACCTTTTCTTTTTCACACCCCTGGATCTTTTTCCTCTTCTGTTTGGATTCTAAAACTTCTCAGTCTGGTACTTTCTTGATTCAGAAAGCTCTCCTTTCCCTCTCTCTCCTCCTGGTCTCCCATCCCTTAGTGGTTCCTTTTTTTTCTGTCCTTTTCTCTGGCTATGCACCATGCTGTCCTCCCCTACTGTGATCCTTCAGCCCTATGGACTCCCTGTTTACCCCCAGACAGCCTCCTGCTACCCCAGCATTGTACAGGTAAACGTGTCCCTTTCTCTCTCTGTCTCTTCCTCTTTCACACTTTCTCTGGAATCGTTTTTTTTTAAATGTATTTATTTACATACTTATTTTTATTTAATTTTATTTATTAATTTATTTGTTTATTAATTTCTAAGCATTTTAAGAACTTTCCTTGTGCAGTTTCTGTCACATGTCTGGTAAAATGTTGAACAAATCAACCAATCACTGAGAAGCAAGAGGCTTCCTTTGTACTAAAGTAAACGGTCGTCCACCAGTTTTTGTCTCTGTCAGTAAAGGACGCTGTGTACCTTTGTTAGTTATTTTTGTACCTGAGAGGTGGCAAGCTGAAAACAGGTTCAGTGTGTGTGTGTGTGTGTGTGTGAGAGAGAGAGAGAGAGAGAGAGAGAGAGAGAGAGAGAGAGAGAGAGAGAGAGAGAGAGAGAGAGAGAGAGAGAGAGAGAGAGATTCCAGGACAGCTGATAAACGGCGTGCCTGCTCTTTCTCTCTGTCACACTCGCTGTATTTTTAGTCTGTTCTCGGTTACACTTTATTTTAAGGTGTCATTGTTACAGTGTAATTATATATAGCTACTGAGTGATATTAAGCAACTACATGTACTTACTATAGGGTTAGGGTAGGATTAGGATTTGGTTGAGGGTTAGTTGCATGTAATTAGGCCTATGCATAATGTAGCCTATACTGTTACTATGGTAAGTACATGTAACAAGGACACCGAAAAAATAAAGTGTCACCCTGTTCTCACTGCCGATTCCATCAAACAGACAGATTAGAGATATAGAAATAGATGTATAGTCTCAGATTGCCTCATTATTATACACAGTGACAGATTTATATCTAAAGTGTAGGATTTATGCTGCCTTCACGTGCTATCGGAATTATCGGACACGAACTCCCTCTCTCAAATCAAAAATTTAATCCGATGAGCTCGTAATCACGATTTCAGAAGTGGGAAGTAGGAATTTTCCGATAGCACGTGAAGGCAGCATTAATTAGCAGATAAATTTTCTTAGTTGCTTTCTGCTAACTTGAATGAATAGTTCACCAAAACATTACAATTCTGTCATCATTTACTCACCCTCAAGTTGTTTCAAACCTGTCTGTTTTTTCTTCTGCTGAACACAAAATAATATATTTTAAAGAATGTTGGTAACCAAGCAGCCATTGACTTCCACAGTATGGAAAATAAATAAATAAAGTGTTTGGATACCGACATTCTTCAAAATAGCCTATCTTCCTTTGTGTTCAGCAGAAGAAAGAAATTCAGACAGGTTTGGAACAACATGAGGGTGAGTAAATTATGACAGAATTTTCTTATGGATTAATTAATTATGGATGGATGCATTCATTAATGGATCAATGAATATGTTAGGAATAATGTACAGACATTATCATAAAATAACCCCCCCCCCCCCCCCCCCAAAAAGACCATGATGTGAATCTGAGGAGTAATGTATCATCTTAAAATGGTTTATTTTGCAATAATAACTTGCAGAACCAATATTGCGGCTAATAAAGAAATACATTTATGTAAATTGCTGATTTGAGTTTAAAGAGAGTGAAACAATGTAAACTGTTACTTGGAAAATACTCATTTTAATATACACTGTAAAAAAATTGCTGTAGTTATGCAGCTGTTTGCCAGTAACTTACTGTAGATTTAAATTGATGTATATTTACTGGCAACAGTTTGTTCAAAGTTAAATGAACATTAAACATTAACAAGTCTTTGTCTTTACAGAATACAATTATAAAATAACAATCTAATGCAAATCATTCTGGGAACCAGAAATCTTCATCAACCTTTTTCTGTTTTTTTTTCCTTCAGATTTTGGTTCCCAGAATGCTTTGCATGAGGCTGTTATTTTAGTTTTATTCTGTAAAGATAAAGACTTATTAATGTTTAATGTTCATTTAACTTTGAACAAACTGTTGCCAGTAAATAACATCAATTTAAAACTACAGTAAGTTACTGGCAAGCAGCTGCCAGTAATACTGTATTTTCTACAGATTTTTTTTACAGTGTAGCTTTGGATCAGTTAATTGAAATAAAGCTGAAATAAAATTAAATATACTTATTTGATCCTTATCTTAAATAACTTAAATAAAATATATATCAATTTGAGTTTTAGTTTTTTATATAATGACTAAAACTTAAACTAAAATGTACAAATAAAAGCTAATTTAAAATGAATACTATAACAGTATATTAATAATAAAAAAAAAAATACTGCTTTGGACAAAACTGATATTGTTTAGCAGTCAATATATAAATATCTCTGACCCCAGAATCCCACAATTGGCCAACTAAATCAAGTATTCCAAAGAGCCTTGTAATACATGAGTATAGACTACATACGCAGTTCTTGTCATCAGGACTGTGTGTGTGTGTGTTTAAATGATCCCGCAGCTGTCAGATGAGGCACCTGGCACCCTGCCTCTGATCTTTAACCCCGATCTTGACAGCTGAAGAGGCCAAAGTGTGTGTGAGGGGGAAGAAATCTTGTATCATGTCAGTGTGCCTGAAAAGACCCTTTATCTGCTAAATAGAAGCATTATTTAAATACTCTAACAGTAACAAAGAATTAGGATGGCAAACTGAACAGTTTATGTTCTCCATAACCCCTGTGCCAGAACATGGTCTGGTATTGTTAATTTAAGTTATTCTGTTGCAAACAAAAGCAGTACTTGTTGAATAAAGCTTCCAAAGTCTAAAGGTACTTAAAGTCTGTCATGCACTTCTTAATTTTGATCTTTGATTTGGTTTGCGGCCAGCAACAACAGCACACCGAGTGACATTTTGAGTCAGCAATCTGTAGTTTAAGTTTGCGGGTCGGACAACACCTGTTGCATCTCATAAATCTTGTTAAGGGGTATCAAGTTGCTCCTGTGGATTATTTTTTTTTTTTTAAAGAATGAAAGTATATATATATATATATATATATATATATATATATACTGTACAGTGGTTACAGAAAACATTGTAATTACGGTATGGTATATAATACCACAAGGCTGAATAGCTGTGATGAGAAACAGACACTGATGTAACACGATACTTTTGTTTCTGTTGAAGGAATCTGTGTGGCTGTGATATTTAATCAGAGCCGTGTCTTTTAGTGTCACAGTTTATCAGTAAAGTCTAAATTTACTCTGCCTTATCTGCTTGGTGATTAAGAGTAAACACTTTGTGTAAAAAAAAAAAAAGAAAGAATTGTTGCTAAAGTTGCTGTCTCAAATTATTAGGTACAATCACCTTGGCCAAAGTCATTTCACCTTAAATTACATTAAACTGACTTAAAAAATGAGTTCAATCTTGTATAACTTATAACTTATTTTGAGTTAAGCGATGTAAAAACATATGTTGTCATAACCTTTTGATCATATAATTTTTTACAGTGTAGAAGTGTGAAGAGCTTCATATCAGCTTTATCTATTATTTTGCCAATCATTTTATTTTATTTTTGAAACCTAAAACCTTTTTGTCGCAAAACACACAAGCTTGACAACACTATCAATATAATTAGAAGTTTCTGCATAAAATGTGTTATAGTTTATATTTGAGTGAATTTAATGTCTTACGTTTCCACTTTTCGTGCATTTTTTTGTTCTATGTTTGACCGAACAGTTATTTTAATGTGTTTGTGTGATCTTACCTGTTTTTACCTTATCTGTTTCATACACACTGTACACACTTTCAATAGTCACAGAAATCTGGTTGGTCTGGTATAAATAAATAAAGGTCATTGTATTCCATGCATTGAACATGATTAGGATCACCGAGTTTTACAGAGCAGGAACATTGAGGTGTTTGTATGTAAGAATCAACTTTTTGAATCCAAACAGACGTGTGTCTGTTGAGTGTCTACACAGTGTAGGAGGGGGAAATGGGTTGATGATTGACATGAACAAATGAACACAGCTGGTGTAAAGACCCCCCTTGAGAAAGGTTTGGAGCTCTGTGATTGGTGGGTGCGAGGGACTTATGGTGAGGTGGGCGTGTGAAAGCTTTGCATTAAAAGCATGCTTCAGTTGTTGGTGAGTATTGGGCCGTCTGTGGAATGCACTGAAGGGGTGAGATACATCATTTATACTACATTCATACTCCTTTTTTTTTAATAAATTGTGTCTTTGCTAAGACTTGTATGTGATGTCTGGTTTAGCTGTGTTATGTGATGTGCAGTATGCATTTCTGCAAACAGACTGTAACAGGCTTCTTTATTCTAGTTGGTAAATTCAGGTCAGTTTTATTTGGCATTTATTATTATAATTATTATTAGTACATTTTCGCTATCTTCCAGAAAGTATTTTTTGTGAAAAAACGAATAAGAGTACTTATATTAAATATGAAGGCCTTAAATCAAAATATGAAAAAAAAAAATCCTGCATTTAAAGGGATAGTTCCCCCCAAAATGAAAATTGAGTCATCATTTACTCACCCTCATGTCCAAACCTGTATGAGTTTACTTCTTCTGCTGAACAATTAAATGATGACTAAATAATGACAATTTTCATTTTTGGGGGAACTATCCCTTTAATTACAGACAGATCTTTTCTCTAATTTGACCTAATTCTTGAACAGTTTATGAACAGTTTGAACGGAACTTATATTTCTGTTAGTAAACAGCATCTCTATCTCATTATAGGGTGCCGCCGCCCAAGAGGCGGGGCCAGGCAATGGTGACCCTTCACTTCCTCAGGTCTATGCCCAACCCCCTTCATACCCTCCACCTGGACAAGCCCCACCCACACCTGCTGCCCGACTGCCACCCCTCGATTTCACTGCTGCCCACCCAAACCCTGAATATGCAGATCATCATCAATTGAGAGTCTATCAGGGCCCTCAGCACGACGGGACGGAGTCTATACCTGCCAATAACACAGTAAGATTGATTAACTGATCAGTAAATTACTGAATAAAGAGTGTTTTAGAGAAGAATATGATCTTAAACATCAGTTAACACTGGGAAGAATCTAAAGTAGAGAAATAACTTAAACAATAGAAATAGCTTTAAAGTGAAAATGCATTTGTTAGTATACGCAAAAATGTAAATATTACACAACTTAAAAAAACCCAAGTGAACATATAAATCAAGCACAAACATTTATTTAAATAATCTAATGCTGCAACAGTCAAGCAGTGTTCATATGAGTATAAACAATTATTATTTTACAGTGACAACACTGTGCAACTGCTGTGAATTCTGTATATACACACAGTAAAATCAGCGTATATTCAGATGTATTTGCGTCAGAGAAGGTATGTCAGGAATATGTATGGGCTGCTGATATATAATCTCATGCTTCGGTCCTCTGGGATCTCCTGTCTGAGCTTAAAATATCTCTCCTTTACACATCCTTCCTTTGCCTTGTCCATGTATGGCAATTCAGCTGGCTCAGGGCACCATATAGAGTATTTAAGTTTACTGGAAGAAAAACGTATTCAAACTTCCCTCTTCTTCTGGTCTCTAATTCTCTTTTCAAAGAACTTTTAAACTTTGAAGTTTTAATCTTAAATGTTTATATACTATGCTTTAATAAGCAGAAATTCAGAGATGTGTTTGAATTGTATGTTTCATTCTCCTCTGTATTTACTCTTAACATGAATTACATTCATTTAGATTCTGAGTAATGTGTTAACATACTGTCGGGGTTTTCAAAATGGGGGTCCAGGAACCAAAATGTATTTTAGGTTAGGTTTTAACAAGCTCATTTATAGCCTATATTAGTACGCTAATATGGGATAATATTATGGATTCCCCCTTCCATATGTAAAGCGCTATGAGTACCTAAAGCGCTATATAAATGTAACAAATTATTATTATTATTATATGTATATGTATAATTTGATATTATTACTGTTTCATTTGCTTTCTATAGCCTGGTTGAAATTCACAAGATTATTTTACCATTATTAAATTGTAATTTAGTTAATTTAGTGTATTAGTTTAGTTGATTTTAGTCAAATTTTTTAACAGTAAGAAATGATAATACTAATTATATATATATATATATACAGTATATATATTGCCAACTTATCACTAAGTAAATATTCTCCAGATAATATAATAATAATATGCTTTGGCTTCAGTAAAGACAATATAATTTTGTACATGTTGTAAGATATAATATGACGCTTAATATTTGAAATACATGAAATTATATAACTGTTTATATTTTAGCATAATGATGAGCATATTTTTGAGTTCATGGCATCAAAAAGTTTGAAAACCCCTAAAATATATCCCCAGTGAATCAACCTGAGATACATTAATTTAGTTAAATAACTCAAATATATTATTATTACTATATATGACTGTGACTTTTTTCAGTGTGATCAATGCAATGAAATGCATTTACTAATATTTTTAAGGCACCAGAACTGAAATGCCAGTCATGAGCCCAGATGTAAATATTGTCTTTAAAGGACAATCTGTAATTGCTGAAATATTGTCTCTTGGACCCATGCCATAACTTTAATTTCTTTAATGTGTCACCATGGACATGTATGATGTGTTTTTTTAGAATGTGTTTTGGGCCATTACTAATGGCTCATCGGGTATAGTAATTGCAGAAGGCCATTTTAAGTTTAACAAAGGACTTGTGGGAAGGACTGAGAGTAATAATTTCACTATGAAAGTTTTTTTTTTTTTTCACTGAAAAAGTTCATGCAATGAGTTCTCTCTTTCTCTGTCACACCATCTTCTGTCCACATTGCTTATATCACTAGAGAGCGCCAGATATTGGGACTATGAGACGCCGCCGTGGAGGGAGGGGTCAAGGGGGGGAGTCAGACGGGATGACCCCTCCCCCCTCATCTATGTTAACCAGGTCCAGTTCAGAAAAGCACTCTGCATCGTGACGTGATATCATCACATACCTTCCCATCACACCTTCCCTCAATCTGTCACTTTTCCCAAAACCCTCCCTAGCCTGTGTCTCTGGATGAATGTAATGATGATGATGATTCAACAGTATTTTCTGTGTGACTGTCTGCTGTCGTAGTCATTACAGCTAGCAATCAGCCCGGCCAGCTCAGAGTTAACCATAACCATGATCTGTTTGTGTGTGTGGATGCGTGTGTGTGTGTGTGTGTGTGTGTGTGTGTGTGTGTGTGTCTGTGCGTAAATCTCTCCTACCTCTTACTTCCTTATTAATACACTGTTCTGTCTTGGTTCAAAAAATGGCACAATGTTGCAGTTTTGCAATCAACCTGTAAAATGATATGCTGAAATGCGTAAGCTGCTTGAATTCCCCTGTTTAGAGCTTCTGTCTTTTACTCTCCGTTTTGGGGTTCACTCGGTTCTAGACCCTTCCTTACCCTCTTGCCAATTGAGGGAACACTAAGGAGGGTTAGTCATTACAGTGGAATTTATTAATAGAAATTGAATTATTTAGGAATTATGCAACTTCTGGTGAAATGCACTGAAAATGAGCCGATGAATTAAACTCTTCTTTCTCATAATTGAATCTATAGGGATACATTGATATTGAAATTTCTGATAAACTGATAAACTGAGACTGATAAACAATAAATATTTTTATGTTATGGTCAACAATCGAATAATGGCAGATAATATAAATTTTATATTTATATATATACACAAAGTCCATTGTACTTATTTTTTTTTTTTTTTTTTTTTTTTAAACACGTTTTAGTGTTAAATTAAAATTGAAGCATCTCAACATGGTAGTGCAAAGATATTTAAAAAAAAAAAGATTTTGAGAAGTATACAGTCTGAATCAGTCCTCTGGAGGAGGGACCTCTGGGATGATGGTTGAAAAACTTAAAATAAATTTAAAAAAAAGATTTTTTTTTATGTAGAATCAAAGGAAGGGAACATGATGAACCGAATGCACCCCCTTTTTTCTGCCCAGATTAGAGCTGTTTTGTTGCCCTTTACCCTTTATATCTCAGTATTGCAGATCTGTAATGGATGAGTTAAAGCAGAGGTCATTTAGCCTTTCTGCTTTAACTTTTTCCATCAAGATATGGAATTGGCCATCTGTCTGTCCTTCTTTCTCGTTCTAATGACTCTATCATTTGCATAACAATTTTTTTCCACTGCTTTGAGATTCACTTAATGCGTTGTGCCCTCACATTTCCTTTTTTTACCTAAACTTCTTTTTGACCTTTATCACCATTTTCCCTTCCTCTTTTTCACCATTTTCCCTTTCATTCCTCTACTTTGTCACGCTATGCTCGCCTACTCTTTTTCTTCTAGCTATTGGCTCTTTCTGTTTTTGAACATTTTTAATACACTTTCTTTTGACTTCTTAATCCATTTTTTAATGGTAACAGTTTTGTGCCGTTTGGTGAGGTAGGCTGTGCAGACATACGAACTGGCATCGTGATGCATTGTGGGATAGTGTATGTGTTGGGTTTGAAGCACAAAACACTCCTATGTATTGATCTGCATGGGGGCATTTTATTCACAGTCATGTACAATCAGTGCAATAGGAAATGCTGTGTACCATGCATTTATGACAATATTTCAGTTGCAGCACTCAGAAAGTTACACGTTGTTAAGTATGCTAGTAATCTTTAATGACTTTAAGCTGGTATTGACTTCACTGAATTTAAAATTGGACTGTGCTCTATTTTCAATGCAAATTGTGTTTTTTTTTGTCTAACAGGCATGTACTTAGACAGCTCACTAAAATGGGAACTTGTTCACATTTCCTCACTTTTGCTTGAGAGGAATCACTGGATGAGGAATGCTCCTTTACGTTTTGTTGTGGTCACTTTATAAAACCAGTTTTCTCCCAATAAAATGTTAGATTGCAGTAAGTTTAATAAGAGATCTTATAAGAACTAAAGGTTTGTTGTCATGAAATGCATTCTAATGTTTTTTTTTCTATTCTTCTCTTTAACTTCCTCCTCACTCTTTCTACGTCTGTTCCCTCTTTCTGCTCCAACATTTTCTCCCTTCCCTATCTTTCATTCCTGTCACCCTCATAGGATGATTCTTTGGCACCTGTAACATCGGACCCACAGTCTCTTACTGTGGCATCTGGAAGTGGAACAGGAAGTGGAAGTGAGGAGGAAGGAGCTGGGAAGGCCCAACCCAAAAGGCTCCATGTTTCCAATATCCCCTTTAGGTTTCGGGACCCAGACCTGAGGCAGATGTTTGGGGTAAGAGCATGTGCGTTTGTCCCAAATGTAATGCATAACTCTTTTTTTTTTTTTGCCAATTAAATATCGCCCAACAATGAACATTCAGTTATCATTTACTCAGTCTCATGTCATTCCAAATCTATGACTTTCTTCTGCAGAGCACAAAAGAAGATATCTTGAGAAATGTTTCAACATTTTTATATACAAATAAAGTCATTGAGGTTTAAAATAACATTCGAACCACCTGACTTTCATTGTATGGACAAAAACAAAGACTAAGATATTTTAAGTATCTTCTTTTGCAGAAGAAAGAAATTCATACTGGTTTGGAACAACATGAGAGTTAGTAAATGATGACCGAATGCTCATTTTTGGGTGAACTATCCCTTCAGCTAAACCCATTTCCATATGTGTAACTGTTAAGTCAATATATGTTGTTTTTTTTCTATCTCTCAGCAATTTGGCAAGATTCTAGATGTGGAGATCATCTTTAATGAGAGAGGGTCAAAGGTCAGTAGGTCTAGCAGTTGTGTTGAGTTAGTCACTTCTTTATTTGAGTTTCAACTCTGATTCAATTTGATTTCAAACCTTTCTTTAGGGTTTTGGATTTGTGACATTCGAGAGTGCAGGGGAGGCAGATAGAGCGAGAGAGAAGCTCAACGGAACGATCGTCGAGGGAAGGAAGATTGAGGTATGAGGATAGGTTACTGTGTTAGAGTGAAGGGACAACTAAACAACTAAATGACTCTGATCCTCAGGTGAACAACGCCACAGCGAGGGTGGTAACAAAAAAGCCCCAGACGCCATTAGTGAACGGTGAGCTTCCTTCATAATGTTCTGCCCCCCAAAAAATTGTTACTCATTGTTACAAGTATGAAAATAAAGGGTTGATAGAATTCAGCTCTCACTTATTTGTCTATTCCTGTAGCTGCTGGGTGGAAAATCAATCAAGTAATGGGGGCCATGTACGCCCCGGAACTTTACACAGGTATGGATATTTTTAATCCTAACCTTTATTCCATTTTCAAATTAAAAAATGTAATAGTTATCAGAAATTTCCTGTCCTAAATTGACTTTAGAATATGTGATTTTTTGTTTTGCCCTCTGATATTCACTTTTTGGGTTTAATAGTCGCCAGCTTCCCTTATGCTGTTCCCACACCGACCTTGGCCTACAGAGGCTCTGGCCTCCGTGGACGTGGTCGGGCAGTCTACAATACAATCCGCTCCGCTACAGCCGCAGCCACACCAGCTGCAGTACCAGCCTATCCCGGGTCAGTCACTCTCTCAATGGCCATGTTATGACTACAAAACGTTTAGTTAGTATTTACACTATACTGGAATTATTGAAATCTTTTAAATGATTTTGAACTCATGTTATTATGTACGTAAGCGTATTGCATTCACTTGAGGAAAAAAAAATCTACTCTGTTTTTCTGAATTAACGAGTTAATTATCTCAGAATTACGAGATATTTTTGTCATGAAAAAAAGTTTTTGCTCTGTTTTTCTGAATTAACGAGGTAATATCTCAGAATTATGAGATAAATTTTTCTTGAAAAACATTTTTTTTCCACTCTGTTTTTATGAATTAATGAGTTACTCATAATTTTGAGATAATTAAGTAATTAATTCAGAAAAACAGAGCAAAAACTTTTTTCCATGAAAAATTATCTCGTAATTCTGAGATAATTAACTCGTTAATTCAGAAAAACAGAGTAGATTTTTTTTCTCAAGTGAATGCAATACACTTCCGTAATAATGTAATATACATTAAATGAAATTAAACTTACATTAAATGTGATTTTAATTTTAGTTTATATTATTTAATTTTATTTATGGCGTTATGTAATGTGCCTGCTTTCTATCTCCTGCAGAGTGGTGTATCAAGACGGATTGTATGGTGCCGAGGTCTATGTACGTTTCCAGTTAACTTTTACCTTTTGTACCGGCACATTTGAGAGTTTACTGTTAGCCTACTTGGTGTAGTCATATCTACCCTTAACCATAAAGTACTTACCATAAAGTTCTTTAGGAATGAAAAGACATGATCTTGGCCTACATAGAAATGTGATTGCTTAAAATGAAAGTCACAAGATGCGTTACATATGTAATAGTGCTGGTGAGTGTGGTTAAAGCTATTAGCTGGTAAAGAAGCAGAGAAAGTGACTCATCATGCACTGCCAGCCAGGATCCTGCAAAAGCCTAAATATAGACTACTACAATTAACTGCAGTTTCTAGGTGAAATGTCCACTGAAAGGACTCATCCAAGTTTATATTTTTTTCAAGGCGGACTCCTAACACAAACAAATTTAAACCTACCTGGAAACTTTATGTTGAATATTAAAATCCAAGCACAAAGCATTTTCTGATGCACTGAAGGTTTCGCTGATAACACCAGGGTGCCCCATGAGGACTGTCCCTCTAGCAAACAGGTTTTGCAAGTTAAATAGTTTTCTGAATGAATAACAATGCAATTCTTCAAACTTCCTGTTTTTAGGGAGGATATCCAGCTACATATCGAGTGGCCCAGTCGGCCTCAGCAGCTGCAACGGCCACATACAGTGATGGGTAAGAACATCAATCTGTCTATCTATCTATCTATCTATCTATCTATCTATCTATCTATCTATCTATCTATCTATCTATCTATCTATCTATCTATCTATCTATCTATCTATCTATCTATCTATCTATCTATCTATCTATCTATCTATCTATCTATCTATCTATACCATCCATCTTTTCTTATTTTTTTATTTATTTAAATTGTTAAGATATGGAAGAGTCTATACCACAACAACAGACCCCTACCATCACTCAGTGGGACCCACCACCACTTATGGAGTTGGAACAATGGTAAGTACGGTCAGTTGTGACTTTCTTGACCGATTGATATGACAGAATGTCTGATTTATTCTGTTTTGTTTACAGGCAAGTTTGTACCGTGGAGGCTACAACCGCTTTACTCCGTACTGAACGAAAACCACTCTTTGACTCACTTCTGCTTATATTGGCTAGGAAATGACGAGACTTCATGAACCACTGTCTTCTGAGGAACCATTTGACCTTAAGATTGTAAATACTGCTGATATTTATTGAGGAAAACAGACAAATCCAGCCTGAAAATATAATTATTTATATTTAGGGACTTTTATTTAATTCCTAATTTAAGAAAATATCCCATCAAAAAAAAAAAGTACATACATACTTTTCAGACTGCACAGTGTCTAGCTTATTATAGTGTTGTTGTTATCGAAAGCACATACTGATACTATCATAATGGTGCCATGATAAGGAAGTCATCATGTGCTCATAGAGGCTCACAGGTAGATGACAGGCCTCACCAAGCGGCCCAACACTGTAATTTTATTATAACCTTAGGATTAGGATCTGTTGCACTGCTGAATGCTGATGTTATACAATAGACAAAGACAAATACCTCTAGTGGAACTTCCCCCTGAGAGAAATACAAAACTCTGAACTTGTCTAGTATGTATAGGACTGTGTGTGTGTTTGTTGGAGTTTCTTTGGAGTGTTCGAGTGTGTGTAATTTTTCTGCTGTCACAAGCATTACTGTGAGATACAGCAATGGCACTGGGGTGGGTGATATTTTTCTCACAATGTAATCTACCTCTGAGCTAAACATTTCTTTATTCTATCTATCTATCTATCTATCTATCTATCTATCTATCTATCTATCTATCTATCTATCTATCTATCTATCTATCTATCTATCTATCTATCTATCTATCTATCTATCTATCTATCTATCTATCTATCTATCTGTCTGTCTGTCTGTCTGTCTGTCTGTCTGTCTGTCTGTCTGTCTGTCTGTCTGTCTGTCTGTCTGTCTGTCTGTCTGTCTGTCTGTCTGTCTATCTATCTATCTATCTATCTATCTATCTATCTATCTATCTATCTATCTATCTATCTATCTATCTATCTATCTATCTATCTATCTATCTATCTATCTATCTTTTTACAAAAAAGAATGCTTTCCTTACTGATTTTCTCCAGTTATTTCCTGTTACGTTATGCTGTTCAGCTCATGTCTGTTCACCTTCATTTTTTTCTGTTAATTTTCTGCTGTTTTTGCTTCAGCATATAACTTTTGTATTCTTATTCTATCTTTATTCTTCTTTTACCACTTTCAACTTCTTTTTTAATGCTTATTTTATCCTCTTTTGTGCTTTATTTCCCTTTACTGTCTGCTTTTAATGACTTTCTTCTTTCTAAAAGGCTTAGTGCATTAATGTCTGTTTTAAATTCCAAATTACTGATTCAAAAATGAATCAAAAGACTATTTAGATGTTTTATCTCTCTGTCTAGGGAACTGTTCTGTGCTCTTTCTTTCTTTCTTTCTTTCTTTCTTTCTTTCTTTCTTTCTTTCTTTCTTTCTTTCTTTCTTTCTTTCTTTCTTTCTTTCTTTCTTTCTTTCTTTCTTTCTTTCTTTGGCTGGTTGGCTTGATTTTTTTCTTATACTATTAAATGTTAGTGTCCCCACTTTTAATATTACATTTTTATTCTCATACGAGTCACACCATCTTATTTCCATTTGACTGTTTTTCTATCTCTCATTCCTTCTCTGGGGTGATATTGTTGTTGTGCACGTGCTTTCATATTTTTGTGATCTATCTTATTATCTGATTATGTAACTCTTCCTTCATTTGACTCTCACTATGCTTATAAGGCTTATTTAATATTCTTACAGCTGATTTATTTTCTCCAGTCTTCTTTCTTTTCACCTCTTTTTCTTCTTTTCCCACACTTCCTTTCTGCCCTGTGTTCTTTCTTTGTTTCTGCATTTAACCTGTCTCTTATCTTTTATATTTCCGTGCATTTCTCTTAGTGTTGTTTGCAGAGTTTATTTTCTTTAGTTTAGTTCAATTCATAATTTCCTTCTCTTTTTTCTCTCTAGACAGTTTGATTATTCTTTTATCTCACATCCATTATAGGACCCTATGATGTCATTGCTGTATCTTTTTTTTTCAACTCACTAAAGTGTAAGCTTTAACTCTGTGGCTGAATTGTACATTAAAAGAGTTTAAAGATGTTTAAGATTTGTGTCTTATGATCATTGAGCAGTTATTTCATTATGCTAATTTTGAAACATAACAGCAAATAACACTTTTCACACACCTTCTCAGATTTCAAGTTTATTTTCTTTATGTTTACTTTAGTCTTTTTCTCATGTAACGGATCACTGGTCGCACCACAGCCTTTTTTAAGGTGTTTACTTAATGTGGGACACTAAGCTTCAGTGCATTTAACTCTTCCTAAACAACATTAAAGTGAACATGACTGGTGTTGAATACAAGCAGGCGTGTCAAGTAAATTAAATCACATGACTTTCTGGAAATGATGTCATAAATGCAGCCATGAAAATGATCAAGAAGGAAGTACGTATTGTGTAGTACATTCAAAGGTGAGTCACATTGGATTTAGCCAAAAGTATGATAAGGATATAAATCTGTTATAATAAATAAAACAATGTTCTAAATTGTTATCAAATTATATTTGTGATGTATTTGTACAAATGTTGCAATAATATTGTTAAAATCTTCTATTTGAAGCAATCTTTCGTTTGTTTACTATGTTGTGTTATGTACTACTTTGTACTTTTTGTTTGTGCTGCCTATCTTGACCAGGACTCCCTGGTAGAAGAGATATTGATATCTCAATGGGACCTTCCTGGTCAAAAAAAAAAAAAAAAAAAATGTTGTCATCAAACTTTAGAAAATGTTGTTTTAAAAATGGGACAGCATGATTTGACTAATGTGGGACAGTCAAATGTTATTCAATTGAAAACGAGCATTAAAAGATTAGACAATTCTGTCATAATTTACTCATCCTCAAGTTGTTCCAAACCTGCATGAATTTCTTTCTTCTGCTGAACACAAAAGAAGATATTTTGAAGAATGTTGGTAGCCAGACAGATATTTTTCCTACTATAGAAGTCGATGGGGTCCAAATTAAATTTTTAAGGTAACTGTTCCTTTAAGAAATTTAAATGCCATAGCCTATGTATTTTTGTTAAAATGTTGGGCTTATAATGCAGAAATATTATTTGTTTTAAGATGAGGATTCAAAACCTAGACCAGAGGACAATGGGATCCTGGGCCATGATGAATCTTTGACTGGCAAGGACTGCTATCTACTTAACTACAGCAGTATGCTCAGCCAAAAGACTAAACCCCAGACAAGCCAGGTGGGCCCTGTTCTTCACTCGATAAAATGTTTCAATCACTTATGGTCCAGGATCAAAGAACATCAAAGCCGACTCACTATCCTGCCAATATGACTCCCCCCTCAGACCCCATCATCTCACCTTCTCTAATTCTAGCTCCAGTCCAGTGGGACATCATGTCCGAAATCACCCAGGCTCACGCACAGAACCCACCACCTCCGGAATGCCCGCCCAACCGACCTTTTGTTCCCCTAAGACTACGAGAAAAGGTAATCCACTAGGTGCACTCCTCCACAAGCTCCGGCCACCCAGGTATCACTACCACAGTTCGACTATTGAGAAGCCGGTTCTGGTGGGAGACTTTACAGGCAGACACCAGCACTTCATGAATTCTTGTCACACCTGCGCTGCAGCAAAAAAAACCCCCAAAAAACAGACAACAACCAGCAGGACTACTACAACCCCTACCCATCCCACAACGACCATGGTCCCACATCGCCATTGATTTCGTCACCGATCTACCAGTCTCTCAGGGTAACACTGCCATATTAAATGTGGAGTTATTATCGTTTCTCCAAGGCATGTTGACTAATACCACTGTCTAAGCTCCCATCAGCCTTCGAAACCACAGAACACCTCTTCCACTTTGTATTCCGCTATTATGGTCTTCCTGAAGACATTGTCTCTGACAGGGGTCCCCAGTTCACATCAAGGGTTTGGACAGCTTTCTTTCGATTATTCAATGTCAATATAAGTCTCACTTCAGGCACCACCCCCAATCTAATGGCCAAACGGAACGACTAAACCAAGAACTCACCAAATTCCTCAGAATGTACTGTCAGCAGAACCAATCCGACTGGTGCTGCCTTCTTCCCTGGGCAGAATATGCACAGAACTCGATTCTCAAACCCTCCACAAAATTAACACCTTTTTAGAACGTTCTGGGGTTCCAACCTCTACTTTTCCCATGGTCCAGTGAGCCGTCCACAGTACCTGCTGTGAACGATTGGTTTCAACGAAGTGAGGCTGTTTGGAACCAAGCGCATGTCCACCTACAACATGCCATAAACGGGGGTAAAGAGCAAGCTGACCGACATCACCGCCCCAGTCCCATATGCACTCCTGGACAGTGGGCGTGGCTTTCAACTCGAGACCTCCACCTTCGATTACCGTGCAAGAAACTCAGTCCCAGTTATGTGGGCCCTTTCAAAATTTTGAGACAAATCAATACTGTGTCATACCGCCTTGAATTACCTACCACTTATCGCATTTCTCCTACTTTCCATGTCTCTCTGAAACCTGCCGGTTGCCCGAGGGTGGAGGAGGAAGGCGGTGACTCAGGCCCCCCACCCATGACCGTGGATGGCGAGGAGGCATTTCAAGTGCGAGATTTGCTAGATTCCAGAGGTCTAGGGATGCTAGATCCAATATCTGGTAAACTGGGAGGGGTACGGCCCGGAGGTGAGGTCCTGGGTCAATGCGGATGACATCCTCGACCCCATTCTCGTCGTTGAATTTCATAGGACCCACCCGGAGAGACTGGCCCCACGACCTCGAGGAAGACCCCGACGACAGATGTGCTCTCGCGTCAGGAGCCGTCTTGTTTGCCCCAGCAGCATTTCTGAGCGTTATTCTATCATTGTATCTTCTGCCTGTGTTTTGACCCTGCCTTGGATTACCGTTTACGACTCTTCTCTGCCTGCCTTTGATCTGTTTACCTGGACTCTTACGTCTGCCGTTTGCTGCCTGTCCTGACCCACTGCCTGTTATGACCACGTTTGATGTCCTATCTCTATTGTTGTTCACTCTGGTATTTCGACCCACCCTGTTTGTACACTGAGCTTGCTTTATTTAAATAAACCGCACATGGATCCTACTCAGCCTGAGTTTCTGTTACAACAAGATGTATTTATATATATTAACATCTTAAATTGTTCTATTCAATAAAATTCATAACACCAAATGGATATTTTCAATAAAACTAACACAAATCTATGAATTTTGAATGAAAATTGAAATAATAAAACAAAATAAATACAATAACACGTGCTAGTATGTATCCAAAATTTCAGATTCTATTAAAAAAGGGCTTGTGCCCTAATAACCCATGCACACATGCAAGCATAAAATGGGACAGTGTAGCCTATCTGTTCTGTTTCAAAATCTGAAAATTTCACTTTGACTCATCATT